CGCAATAATTTTATTCAATGTTACAAGATATGTTTATTCTCCAAATTGTTTACCAAATTAATTCAACTTCCTTTATAAGAAATATTTTTAAATTTTGGATAACAAAGTGAAAATCAAGATCGCTTATGTTAAATATGGTACGTAAGCGCAAAAAACAAAGGTCAGCTAACAACCTTGTAGATATAAACGCGGACAGCTTAACACATTTATCGCTACATCTAATGAAAAATATGAAATCATACACTGGAAATATCGCCTTACGTTAACAAACTATAAAACCCCTGATAGAAATAATTCAAAATAACTATATCCTACATCCATGTTTAGCTGTTTTAACGCTTGTTTTACAACAACAGCCAATAGTAATAGGTATACCTATCTTATTTGTCAGAAAGCATCAAAACTTTGCAAATTATTGTTTTCAACAATGGTCAGAACTTAGCCACAGAATATCATTTTATTATACAATACCCGTATACAAATATCGGCGTTCGGCGATTCAAAATTGGACCCTCCCCAGGATCGCACCTGATACGGTATAAAATATGTGATGTGAAGATAGATTATTTAAGCACATAGTTTAAACTAATTGTCAACCTCATTACAAATACATCAGTTTTATCACTTCCAATTGTCGCTTTTTAGGCCTAGGTATTATCAAAGAATACAGAGTTACCTGATAACTCTGTATTCTTTGGTATTACTGACCCCTCAGGACAAGCTTATAACGTTGTTTGCAAGTTTTGGTAGAAACAAGTGAATTGACGTTATGCAAATCGATTCTTCCTATCTTTCTTCTAGACGTATTATTCTCATGTCCAGGTAACTTAAGCACATAAAAGACAACATACGTCTTTGCAAATATATGCCAAATCATTGTCAATCACACTATTATCACCAAGATCCCTCTATTAAATCAAGCAAAACAGTTCACACCGGCTTCAAAATAATAAAATCAATACAACCACGCGCAGATCAGCTTCTGGGGAATCTAACCCTAATAACTAACCTGTACAGGGTTGTCAGTAGGCTGCGGCATCTCTGGAACCTTTAGTAGACGAAATAAAAAGTCCTTAGGGCTCTAACAGGGATTAGGAAATAATCAGCACACCGAACACACCGTAAACGAAAAAACACGCAACGAAACGCGATACATCCTCCTCGTGGGTTCACAACCGACTGACGAAAATTGGGAAACAGCGAATCAGCGAAAGCGGTGGATGGTGGACAAATGAATAACGCGGTGATTCATACCGCTCGCTAGCGGTGCCCAAGACTTGGAGATTCGAGTTGTCGGGAACGAGGACGAAAGCTTCCAGAGAAAGCCGGTGAGGACCAACCGGAAGAATAAAAAAGGATAGGTACGCTGACATTATCGAGGGATGCACACATGGGATAGATGAAGCAAGGAAAATAGAAGACGTCAAGAGGAAAGACGAAAGCGTTTGTTTTAGTCAATGCCGGCTCGTATTATTATAGGTGTACGGCAAAGGGAAATGCGATTTTACTACAATTCTCAATTAACTTTTTGCTCATAGTGATTTTTTAACGGTTTATAGCACACATTATGATGAACTCAAGCCTGATCACAGAGCTTCACGCTTTGTGCGGAAAACGATAAATATCAATTTGTTTAACCTCTACGATTGGCTATAAAGCTTTCTCCTAACATTCGTGTAGTGAAAACCTGAAAAACGCATTTTATTTGATAGGATATTTTTTCCATAATCCCTTAAAGTTAGAATTATGTTACGTTCTTCTTCGGGTTCTAGGTAGGGGAGACTAGGGATACATGAGACAAAAAATGAATTTTATTTCTTACATATTATACAATTTGCAAGTGAATTGTATGAGATTTAGCGAAACTTGCCATAACTGTTCATGCTTACAAAATATTATTCAAATTGTTTACAAGTATTTCAACCAAATGGTGTAAATTGTCTTAAGGCTCCCTAGGTAAGGGAGCATTGAGACAAAAGCTATAAGGAGCACTGAGACATTGTAAGCTTTTGAGAAACGTTTGTTAATTGTTGAAGAAATAGAAAAATTTACAACGCAAGAAGTTTATTAATTATTAATCAACAACGAAAACTGTCTATTAATTATTGAATAAAAAATTATAATAATAAAGAAAATCACCGAACATTTTGATAATAACGGAAGTCCAGACCAAATGTCAGAGTAGATTTAACTCTTTCTGTTCCACCCACATTTTTGGGAAACGGTAATTTCAAAACTATATCTTGTTGTCGAACTGAAGAAATATCTTCCACTGGTGGATAAACAAATTTCCAGGTGGTTCCGTGACGACGTAAAAATTTTACCTTGTATTCATCATCTTTCTTTGATATTACCAGACCCACATAATGCTTAGTTGAAGTCTTTGTGTAAAACTTAACCAAAGCGAAGTCTCCCACTTGGAGGGTCTTGACATCCTCAAGAGCTTTAATCTGAAGCATTTCTGTTTCGTGGCTTTGAACATCTGAAACATTTTAGCTGCTTCCGTCCAACTCGCTTTGTTCCTCTTCAACACTCAAAGAAGACTGTGGTGGTGTTGCAGGTTTCTGTAAAGACTTTTGTTTGTTTGTGGTGGAAATATGAGCATCATAATTCTATTTTCTTTTGCTTTCCTCAGGGAAATATGGCTATCCATTAGTAGCAATACTTTGTTTTCCATGGAACTATGCTTTATGAAGTGTTCCAGGAAAACAACAAAGTTTTAGGAAGACATCCATCCACTGGAACTAGCAACTCCAACACTTCCTGGAAAAGCGCCACGTAACATATATTCCTTAAAATGTACTTCTGAAAAGACGAAAAATGGCGGAAAGAATCTCCTTCCAGCACTAATACCACAACAGGAAGTTACTAATGTGCCACGTTCAGCAGACGTGACGTTCCCAACTTGTTTAACACCCTTCGCTGCCAGGACTTTGACTGGTTTGTGTACAATTGTAAGCCCTGTCTCATCAATGTTCCAGATCTGATGAGATTAAAACTGTTCTAGCTTTAGGACCGATTCCAAACGTGTGGTAACATTTGTGCAGTTAAAACTCGTACATCGGGACAAACTGATTGACTCTGGAGTCCTCAGCGATAACTCGGGGTGGCGATGTCTAAAACCTCGATACCAATCGTAGCCAGCAGCCAGCAGTTGATTTTTTATCCCATTTTATAGGACATTTTTTATGGTTGGATTTAGCAAATTGAAAGGCTAGTTGACCATGATGCATTTGCGAAGCACGGACTAGATAATCCGATAGACTACCCCCTTCTTTACGGGTAAACACTAACGCAGTTTTAAAATCAGGTGAATAAGTAAGCAGCAGCATCCAAATTCCTTTTTTCATATATCTGCTAAGCGTTTGTTTGTCTATATCATATTTCCTTGCAGTTGCGCGTAAACTAGCTCCTCCAAGAACTTCTTCCACTGCGGCTTTCATCACGTCAGAAGGTTTTGTTTTCTTAATCCAAAAATGGGGCATATTGTAACTGAAACGATATTATCCAATTATTTCTCAATCAGATGAGCATTTTTTAATTGTTTAAAAATACTATTAATCCAGTGACTCAGATGTTTAACCGGAATTTTAGATTAGATAATTTTATAAAACGCTACATAGGGAGACATGAAACTTCTCATGTCTCCCCAAAACAACTGTCTCATGTCTCCCTATATACTCATAGCATTTCATAAAATAATCTGACCCAAAATTCTTGTTAAGCTTATATTTCATGGGATAACTATATAAATAATTCACAACATATCTGAGGTCACAATGCCTAAAAAATCAACTCGAATTTTCACTTTACCTTCCTGCAAACTACAACGATATCACAAAATTAAAACTTAGTTTGCACCTGCACTATCAATAATGTTCTACCAACTATTCTCGCCGGTTCGCTGGCCAAACGGTAAGAGATTTGACTAAAGTTATTAACCAGTAACTAACAGATGGCTCTCCCTACCTGATTTTAGGAAATAAATGTAGTGTCTCATTCCTCCCTTGTCTCAAGCCTCCCGTCTCCTCTGCATATACATAAAACTATCCTAGAGAATCCCGTTCTGATGCTGCTACGTGAAATCACGTGACTGCAGTACAATGCAGAATCCCTTTGTGATTTGTTATCTGCAGAACCGGGAGTCAATTGTGTATAGGGTCCCATAATTAGCAAAATTCAAGTGGGGGCGGGGCAGTAGCGGTCCCAGATTTCATGTTCAGTTTTCATTTTTCCGTATCGGGGAGGGGGTGCTTGCCAGAAATTGGAAACTGAACCTGACGTTAGGCAGCAGCGGTGGCCGCAGTAGTAGACTCTTCACTTCTTCAGTCTCCTCATCAGTTGCCGTGCGCTGTGCGGGTTCGAATCCCGTCCCAAGAGAAATTTTTCTCTTGGCTATGGATGTTGTGATTGTCCGTATGTGGTAGACGTCTCTGATTGTCGAAAGCAGAGGTACCACCCGGCGGATCTCGTAGGCGGGGCCAAAATGTGTGCATGTTGCATGCACACGTGTTCACTCGTCAGAGTCCGTGTGGCGTCCCCCCTTTCCCCTGTATCACCCTATAGCCCCACAGTACCCCATGGGTATTTAGGCCTTCGTGGTAGTTGGAGTATAAAAAAGAGCGGGATGCTCTGCAGCTTTACATACATACATCTTTACAATTCAGCTCTAACAATAAGGTAATTTTTGGGGATGTTTTGAAAACCACAAAAATCTCACGGCATTCGTTACCTCAAGAAACGGGTACCTGCCCTATTAGAAATATTTTACTTCTCAAGCGGAAGTAAGAGGAGCATATTTATCCCCCCATGCTTCCCTAATTGGCGCCCGTGCAAACTATGGTAGATAAAGACAATATTTCACGCCAATGCGAACATTCTGTTTACCTATTTTACCAGATCTCTATAATGTGTTAAATCTCATTTATGCCCCATAAAAACAAACACCAGGCGCGATATTCAAATTCGCACGCTCCTTGTGGCCAGCGGACCATAAATGCCTTAAGGTGCGTATACATATGCGAGCCGAGCGGTTCGCGAGCCGCTTGTCAGCCGCTCGATGGTGGTTCGTTGAAATGATTTTTTCCGCGAACATCCAGCGATCCACAGATTCAGCGCACCAAACGCAAACAAACATCGCAGTCGACAAATGCAGTATGGCTTCGCGAAACGAAAATTATACTATTTTAGTGATGAGTGCTGCAGTTTTAGTAATGGCTGATGTAAATAAAAAAAGAGAAGACAACGACGTTGGTGGCCGGTGGCGTACTAATTTATTCAAGAAACGCAGTGGTACGGGAATTTTAATGGACCTAAAGTCGCAAGAAATAAGCGGACAGTATAAAAATTTCACTCGAATGACACCTACTGACTTTGAGAATCTGCTGCAAAGGATTGGACCCCATATTTCAAAACAGGAGACTTATTTTCGTACTCCAATCTCTGCCCAAGATAGGTAAGTCGGTGTACCGTGGACAGGTAGCTCTGTTTTTTAACAATTTTTTTAAATTAATATTCTAGGTTAGCCGCAACACTTCGGTTTCTTGCCACAGGAGATTGATATACTAGCCTTCAGTATCTATTCAGAATTTCCAAGCAGTCGATTGGGCGTGTAGTACCCCAAGATTGTGCTGCACTAATTAAGGAATTGCAGGGATATATCAAGGTAACAACATTAATATATAAATTAAAGGCCTGTGTGTAATTCAAAAATATATTTTTCTTCACTTTAAAGTAATTTCCACCACTAAGTTAACAAACAAAAAATAGAACTCAAAAACGTTACACAAAATCTTCATAATTTTCTGATGTGAGTGACGAAACAGGTGATTGTAGCGATGATGGGTTGGACAATGATGGTTCAGAAGTTGCAGGAACGGTTATTACTTGCAGAGGTTGTGAATAATAAGTTTCAGAAGATTGAGAATATAGATTATGTGAAGTAGGTTGGGAATACATCGAAGAAGTAGGTTGTGAATTGATATGATTGGTAGCTTGTGACTGTATGTAGGAAGTAGGTTGAGAATCATTGTAAGATTGAATTGAAGTCGGATTAAGAAATCCTCTATCAGCTTTAATAATAAGGTCAAAAACGGCATGTTGAATTGTCTGTTGTATTGGAGGGGGGTATTTTTGAACCTTTGCAGCAACAAAATTAAAAAATAAATCTATTTCACTGGGTTGAGTTGGCTCTTTGTACATTTTTTCGCAGCATTCTTCAAAATCTGTAATGCATCACTTATTATTGGAGAGGAAACATTATCTTGTTTTGTTTTTGATCGCTTTGTAGATTTGGAGGTAGATGGTAGCGTAGGTGTCTCTGGTATCGCCTCTTGTTCCATTTGTTCGGAAGATAGGGCAGCTTCGTTAACATCATCCAGCTCCTATTAAATACATTTTCAGTAACTGTATATGTAGTTTATAAATAATGAAATTTTGAAATGAAATTATGTTAGCATAGTATTAGCGATTCCTTTTTTTATTATTTGAGAAGGGTGGTTTTATCGTATTCCAAAATACACCAAAGAAGCTGCGCAAAAAATGATATTAAATAAATAAATTATTAAGATAAGCTAATAATGAATAAAACAGGTCAAAATTAATAATTGTTATTTCATTTCAGCTACCTAAGACTCCCACAGCTTGGAAACAAGTTAGCAAGATATTTGAAATTCGTTGGAACCTTCCTCATTGTGTTGGTGCCCTAGATGGAAAACACGTTGTTTTACAAGCACCAGTGAAATCGGGTACCGAATTCTTCAATTATAAATCCAATTTTAGTATTGTGCTTTTCGCACTGGTTGATGGTGATTATAACTTTATGTTTGCTGACGTAGGCTGCCAAGGAAGAATTTCTGATGGGGGGGTTTTTAAGGCAAGCAAATTATATCAGCAGCTTACAGAAAACAGACTAGGACTTCCAACACCAGAACTAGAAGGATGTTCTATGCAAATACCGTATTTTTTTGCCGGCGATAGCGCATTCGCTTTAAGCGAAAATCTCATGAAGCCCTATACTGGGCTACTTTCCAAAAGGAACTCGTCAACGAATTTTCAATTATCGTTTGAGTAGGGGTCGTCGCATAGTTGAAAACGCATTCGGTATATCAAGTGCAGTGTTTAGGGTGTTAAGAAAACCAATGCTCTTAGAGCCTGCAAAAGCAGAGTGGGTTATAATGACAGTCATTCTTTTGCATAATTATCTCAGAAAACACTCACCAAATATTTATACCCCTTTTGGCACATTAGACTATGAAGTTAATGGAAATTTAACTGAGGGATCATGGAGAAATGAAGGAGATATGACGTCTATGGTACCTATATGAAATATTCCTCGAAGACCCACAAACTATTGTACAAAAGTTAGAGATGAAATCGCTAATTATTTTATAAATAATGGAGCTCTAGAATGGCAGGACCAATATGCTTGAATTTATAAAAATAATTACTTACCGTAGCAAGTCTTTTTCGTGGCAAATCTCTGTCTTCTAAAAACCTAAATGCTTCATAGGCAAACCATCTGCTGCAATAAACTTCATCTCTTCCTGAAAATTAAAATCGAGATTAAAATTATATACGGCAAGTGAACTAACTTAATTAAAAACATATTATTTAGTTGAATTAAAAATTAAATTCGTATTAGCAAAAATATTTTGTATTATTATTTAAATAAAACACAACTAATTTATCTTATTATTTCATTTATTTACCTTTTCCTGTACTAGTCCCCTGCTTTGTTTTATTTTTCTACCGGCGGAAAGAAGCTAAGAGGCTTATTATTTTCTTTTTGTACTGTTCAGTAGTGGTTTCCATTTCATCCGCAATTTCCCGCCAAGCGTCCTCTTTCAAATTTTTTTGAAGTGATTTTCATTTTTAGGATCCCATAATAACGTTTATCAGACATAATATTTTTTCTTCCGACCATGAATCCATAACTTTATTGAAGAAAAATAAAGTTCGCTCGCGAGCTAAAGAAAAACAACGAACCTTGTCTAAACACGTCCCAATATGCACTGCGAATTCCTTTGTGTTCATCGAAAAAACCGACAGGCCGCGGCTCGTCGCGAGCGGCTCACGAGCTGCTCACAAGCAGTTCGTTTGGAACCATAAACCCCGTCCCAATTAGCCGAACAAGTTGCTCGCGAACCGCTCGGCTCGCATATGTATACGCACCTTAACAGGCAGTGACGAATAGTAGCGATGGTCGAGTGCTCATGTTTCTTTCAATGCGAACTAAATGAATTTGAATAGTGCTTTAGAAGCATGGTCACGTTTTTCTCTCGATTTTCATGTATTTTACTTGTTTGATAATCTTCATTGGAAAATTCAATATTTTCTACGAGAAACCTTTAGAATTCGAAAATTTTCACTATTTCTTGTAGTTTGCTTACTTTCAAAAATCATCATTAATGTAAATGACCATTTATCAAGAACAATGCTTGGTATCCAAGTTTTCCAAACCAATTGCTGCTATCTTTTGCAAGTAAACTTTTTGAAATATTATGTGAACTTGGCAGTAAAAATGTTCCCATAACAATGTTCTGTCTGAATGTTTTGACAAATGTTTTTCCAGCAACTAAAACATCACAGAGCTTCCTTTAGTCGACTTTCCCTAACACATGTTAATACAAACAAAATCTGTAGACTGTTACAATTGACAGTAATATTTATACACTACACAGCTATTTTTTTAAATTATGAAACAATTGAGACAGAATTTATTATATCAAAACGTGTGGTTTATGTACTACCAAGTTTTGCTAGATAGAATTTTATGATATAAAATTACTGTGAAAGGAGTGTTTCTTAGATTGTATTTGCACCCATTAACTGTTGAATACAAGTCTGAAAAGTTTAGTCATGAGAAATATTTAGCACAGTTACACACTCAGTCTTACTTTAGCAGTGCATGGTAAAAAATGTAAATTGCTGTAGAAAAAGGTAAGAAGTCGTAGATAATTGCCTAATTTAGATATTAACAGGCCATAGCAGAAAATCCTGTAAATCTGATATGCAGCAAGTGATCATTGCAAAGAATGTGGTTAGTCATGAGACAGATATGATCCATTACAATAGTTTTAGTCAAAATCAAAAGAATGTCCCATTCCCAAAAAAAAATTGTGTAAACATTTTGCTGATGCAGTACTTCATTATACTGTGAAGGGTGACTGGAAATAAAAATTAAGAAATGTTTAAGGCTTGTATATTGCGAGTATTGTAATTATTTTCAAAGAAACAGTCTGAACTAACAATACTAATTTTTAATATTGACAAGTGGAAGATGATGCTATAAATGTCATTGTAAAAAACGAGCGTTTTTGGGGAATGTAAAAAATATATGAATAATAAATACATAAAATACTCCACATAATAAGTGTAATTAAAGAGTGCTACTAAATCGCTTGCTTCTCTCTATGGCGCGTATTTCTTTCTCTATCTCAAATCTCCTCAAGTCTGCTCTTTCTAAAAAGTCTTGTCTGTCTAGATACCTGAAACAAATAATTTACAATTAAGTGCAGATCCAACCTGTTATTTAAACACAGTGGCGGATTTCCAAAGCTGCCTAGGGGTAAAGGACTCTCAATGGTGGTTGTAAAAAAATATTAATGTTCACTGGATCTGCCCATGTTTGCAATCAGATAATGAAAATCGACCACCATTATGATTAAATAATTATGACTCTTGCATAAGCATATTATGTTACTTTATTTTAATTGAAATTTGCTTTACAGTGTGCCACTACTCGTATGAATTGATACCTCGTAGACCCTCCCGAACTGTGATATTGGCATATGCTAAGAGTTACCATTAAACTTAGTTTTGCTAACTACTGCAAACATTTGTAGTGATGTCAATTATAGAGTCTTTGTAATGCATTACCAGAATTACATAAACTTACCCATCCTTTCCTTTATTGAAGGTTTGTAACTCTTCATCAATATTCTCCTCCTTTTTGAACTTATCCCAATCTAGCTTGCTTTTCTCTAAGGTACTTATCTTAGGCTTCTTAGTCAGCTGACTTAATACATTATTGATGCCACTTAGGCCTGCAGATCTTTTTCCTTTACTTGTTTTTGGAGCTTCCTTATCAGCAGCCTTCAATAGCCTTGCTTCTGCAGAATCAACTGGAACCTGAAGAAAATTATTGAAAAAATCTATAGAGCATACAAAACTTTTGATATTTTCTAAAGCAAATCTTTTGCTAATGGTGCAATTTAAGAAAGTTTTGAATAATAGGTAAAATTCGAGAGAAAATATTTTAGTTTTTGCAAAAATATTAAAATTCTCTATTACATCTTATATTTAAGGGCATGATTTTTGAATCCATTTTAAGAAGCAAACTTCATATGAATGTATGCCCTAAACATCTCAACTTTTGAGATACATTTTTCAGTATAGAAAGTCAAAGGCAAGCTACTGACTTTTTTGTAAATTAATTCTGTATTCATTTATAAACAGAATTGACATCTTGAATCTGTTTAGTTCAATGTATAGTTTTTGCCAAAGAAAATAAAGCTATTTATCTGCATGATGATATTGTCATCTTAATTAATGATATTATGATCATGTGGAGAAGTTTTTTTTTAAGCAACAAAAATGTGTTACATTAAAATGCCTTGGGACACATATTACAAGAATGCCAAACTTCATTAAGATATCTACAGTGGGATTACAGATCTTGATAATAGTGGTTTATTTTTTAATAATTTATTACCCTATATCTCTAAAGTTAAGACAATGGGTTTTAATGAAGTTTCTTGGTTGAACTCAAAAATCACCCCCTTAAAAATTGATATTCAATTAGGGAAATTAGTAAGGGTTAGGGTCTACAGAGATATTGAAATATTTGGAAATATTGAACTTTTTAGAATCTCTATAATGAATATTCTGGAGGTACAGAAAATACACATGATTTTTTTATATTTTATATAACAAAACATTTATGCTGTTATTGAGTGAGAAAGTGTTTTTGATGAGTATAACATTGTGTAGATTCTGGGATATTACCCACATAGATCTTTTAATTCAAGAACTTGAACTCACCTCTTTTTCTACAGTTACTTCTTCACCGGCAAACTCAAATACTTGTGTAACTTTTACTTTCTCTACTGGTTTATGTAATGGCTTCTTCTCAAGGGCACTAACCACTTTTTTATCATTATATGTTGAAGTACTAGTAACATGTCTGGAAGTTGAATCAACAGTCCTATTTTTTGGCTTGAAACCAGTGTCTTTCATAAAGTCCGCCCAAAGGTCTTCTTCTTTCTTCTTTTTTTCTTCATTTATTTTTGACTCTCCTTGTTTATCTTGAGTAGAATGTCCACATTGTGCTTCTTTACTCTTCACTGTCTCTTTTTTCTTCGTTTTTCCTTTCTTCCGCCCTTTCGTATTCTTCTTAAGATCCTCTGGATCAGAGAAGTTGTCTTCTGGGTCACCATCTGACTCAACTTCTGAAACTACCTCTTGTTTTTCATCTGGAATGTAATCTTCATCACTGGAATCACTTTCGTCGGGAAAATCTTCGGTGTTCATTTTGAATAAACGTTATATCAAACTCAAAAGAACTACTGTCCAGCAGGTCAATCAGCTGAAGATGCAGAATCACGGGAAGTAAGAGAAGGTTTATAAAGAAAAGGTAAACCACACTTTTCTGCTTTTCTAGATGTTACCAAAATTTTCACCCAGCACCAGCACCATGATCATGCTTTGAAAACACCACAAAATATACACTGAAAGAATACTACTCAGTGCTCAGTGTAATTCAACCAGGCAAACGAATGTCGCCATGTTTTCGTGGTGAAAGCACAAATATGACTTATGACACAGAAAGAACGCCTGCCTACTCAGAACAATTGGACGAATGGGTATGCCATGTTTCTTACAATGACATACGGCGGTGCTCTCATGGTTGCCTACTTTCTCACCACATCTGTGATCTGTCACTCATTGTCATCTTTATTTGGTTGTTTTGAAAATTTTGAATGGTTTTCCTAATAACAAAAATTAATTTTGCATTAGGAAAAACAATTCAAACACCTCACGTGCATTTGTGATTGCGTTCGTTCAACAGTGATAAATAAAACAATATAATTAGGAAAATAACTTTATTTTGGTAGATAACGTAATGTGGTGCATTTGCAATATAGAATATAGTGCAATGAAGAGTCAGAAACCCCATGGGAGGTTTCTGAATAATAATTCGAATATACGATCATAAGGAAACTACAAAAAACACATGATGCTACACTCAACAAAAATATTGCGAAATCTGTATGTAAAGGGTACAAGATTTCGTTAATCAAACATAACATCATACATCTGAATAAACATTAATTTGCAAAATTTTACATTTATTTTACATGAGTAAAGCCTGTATGTATATGGTATAGGTCATATCTAGTAATTTAATAACTCAACATAAAATTCTAAAAAATTAAATTAAACACAATTCTATCACAATATGGTAAAAATGTCCTGGTCAGGTAATTAAAGTACCGTGAAATGGGGTGAATAGAAACTGCTGGGTGAATAGCAACAAAAACGGGAAACTTCTTTTAAAAAAAATCAACATTGGAATTAAACCTCCCAACGCTTCAAATTTGTTCTCAAATGGTCAACAGATGTCGCCATAACTGCTTTAACAGGCCAAAGATGTTTTATGCTGGCAGCCCTGATTGCAGTAGCAACCACCCGTCGGAGTGAACACATGAGCCTTTTTCATCACTAGCAAAACTTTATTCACAGTGGTTAGCTAAAAACAGGTAAGACATTGAGTTTTTGGTTAAAGTAGCTTTAAGGTGTCTGGTTCACATTGCCTATTTCAGAAATTGCTTGTCTTGCTTATTTTTTTTGCTATGATGTAATATAATACATAACCACACTTTTAAGTAATTTTGGGGTGAATAGAAACACGCTGTTTCTATTCACCCGCTGTTTCTATCCACCCCATAACTGTTTTTTCTTTTGCAGGAAAATGCCTCGCGTTTATAAACCAGACCCTCGAGGTAAAACATATAAGAAAATTGATAAAAAAACTCTAAAAATAGCCCTTGCTTCAATTGACAACGGAATGAGTTATAGAGTGGCTCACGAAACATACAACATTCATTATTCTGTGCTTTATCGGCACCACAAAAACCGAAATCTGAAGCTTCATGGAGGACAAACAGCCCTAACCAAACAAGAAGAAGATATTTTAGTCCATCAACTAATAGTTTGTTCCGATTGGGGGTATCCACTTGACCATTTGGACCTCAGGATGATGATAAAAAATTACCTAGACAGTAGAGGTAAAACAATAACGAGATTTAAAGATAATATCCCTGGCAGAGACTTTGTCTATTCTTTTTTAAAACGTCACAAAAATGAATTAAGATTTAGAATCTGCCAAAACATCAAGAGCTGCTGTTTCTCCCAATACTATCAATGCTTATTTTGACAATTTAGCCACGGAGTTGAAAAATGTACCGCCATCAAACATAGTAAATTACGACGAAACAAATTTAACTGACGATCCGGGTAGAAAGAAAGTAATCTCGAAAAGGGGCTGTCGCTATCCAGAACGTATTTGCAATACGTCGAAGTCAGCCGTTTCTATTATGTACGCTGCTTCAGCTGATGGAAAATTTTTCCCACCATACGTGGTTTACAAAGCTAAAAATTTGTATACATCTTGGACAGTTGGAGGACCAAAGGACGTCAGATTTAATAGAAGTCCATCAGGTTGGTTTGATGCGATTTCCTTCTCAGATTGGGTAGAGAGCACTGGCATACCTGCAGTAAAAAATCTACCGGGAAAGAAGTACTTAATTGGCGATAATCTGAGTTCACATTTTTCTGCAAGTACAGTATCTCTTTGCGAAGAAAATAATATTTCATTTATATTCCTCCCGGCTAACTCTACTCATCTGACCCAGCCTCTGGACGTGGCATTTTTCCGGCCTCTTAAAACAGCCTGGCGACAGATCCTTGAAAAATGGAAATTGGGGGCTGGTTCAAAGCATTGCACGGTTCCAAAGGACAGATTCCCTTTCTTGCTAAATGACTTGTCAAAGGCTGTTGAGCCTAATGCTGGAAAAAATATACAATCTGGCTTTAGAAAGTGTGGAATTTTTCCACTAAATAGGGATCAAGTCTTGGGACGCCTTCCGCAGCAAAATCTTGACGAGACAAATGGTGAGAATCAGAACATTGAAGAAGGACTTAATAACTCTTTGGTAAACCTTCTAAGAACAATGAGATATGGCGATGGTCAAAATGTGAAGAGTCGACGTCGTAAAATTCAAGTTCCTGCTGGCAAAAGCGTTACAAGTGCAGATTTTGAAAGCACGTTGGATAAAGACGATCAAGAGGATACTGATTTGGAAAGAAGTATGGAAACCTTAGATGAAGATTCAGACCCGGAAATGAATTTGCCCCTTATTAATTTCATGCCAATAATGGCAAAAGCTCAAGATCATTCTTCAAGTGAAGACTCTGACATGGAAAAAGATCAGGATCATTCTTCAGATGCAGACTCAGAAATGGACACTTCACTACCAAGTTTCACCGATAAGTCCGAGAATAAGTTGGATACAAATAATTCATCAGCATCAGTCTGCTTTGAGGGTAAATTGTTTCGATGTGTTTCTCCTATTTCTCTTGATTTAATAGATAAAGGAACTTGGCTTCTGGTGTGTTTTCCAACAAAATATCGAAATAGACAAAGAAATAAATATTTTATCGGACAAGTCATTAATATTACAGAAAATGACATTGAAGCCACTTTCTTAAGAAGTCGCCCCACCAAACACTCGTCAGGATATATTTATGGATTTCCAGAAGTTCCGGATGTTTCCACCTTTCATTTTAGCCAGGTTGTTGGAGAGGTTTTCCCAGTTCATGACGAGATAGAAGCATCTACGTCAAGAAGAGACATTTTAAAATTTAATTTGTATCAAAGTTGTTTAATTTAAATAATATGTTTAAACTTGTTACATTTCTATAGAAATAAATGTTTTTTTTTGTAAAATTGGTGTTTTTGTCAGTTTTTTTTGTGTATTTATATTTTTTTATCAATTTAAAAATTTTTTCATGTTTTTCTATTCGCCTTCGTGTGGGTAGAATAGCAAATTTAACCAATTTAAATGGGTGTTTCTATTCACCCCACATTAAGGGTGAATAGAAAAAGAGCGTTTTTATTTTTTATTTGGAAAACCCCCTATTTAAAAAAAAATCTATTATGCGCTTTTTGATCTACAAGTCGAGACCTGTAGATTCCTTATTTTTTGTTGTCAAAAAGGTGACTACCATGTTAGCAACAGAGTAGGAAAGGTCCGAAACTGTTTCTATTCACCCCATTTCACCGGTAGTAATTAAAAAACCAGCAGCAAATATTCGAAAATGATTTACCTGGTGGCATTCAACTTTTTCATTTTCCTTGAATGGCCATCAGATGTTTCAAGAGGTCTTTTCATAAAAATTTTATGTTTAATATACTAGAAGATTGTCAGTCTGATGCATCTGTTGATATTCTTGTGAAAATTGCAAGGCTGAAAATTTTCAAGCAGTTGTGTCACACCTGTTTTGAAGAAGGCTTGATCATTAGGTAAATGGGCAAACTTATCCAAAAAAACTATACAGTTTTACATGGATAAAATCTAATAGATGACTAAGGCCCGTATCGTCAGTCGTCCCTACAATTGTAGGGCGCGTTTATGGCCTCCTTGATTTCGGTAATATTACGTCTTCTTCGTTAACGTACATGTATGTCCTGCTTTTGATTTTCGACATACTGACAGTTCTGGCTTGAGGTTATGTTGTTGTTTTGACGTTCAATGGAAGGCAGAACCATAATTTATAATTTTCTTGCAAATAATATCGATCACTCAAAAATACCTCGCTACATTGAACAAATTCCACAACCTGTGGTATCTTCAAGAAATTGTTGAGTTAGGAAAATTAATACACATGGATGTAGTAAATTATAATATTATATGTGTGTGTATGAAAGTCCAGAAGCTTACAACCAAGCTATTCTCTTGATCGAGGTTGTTCAGTTACAAAACAAATCATTGCAAATCCATATTATATACTTATCGCATTATTTTCAGGTGTAATTCATTCTGACAGACTTTATGAGATGGTTCCTCCATGGATAAGAAATATTGTATGGCAAGAGCAATTATTGCATTGTCGATGTCAGAGATGCTTCTTCACAAATCATTGTGGGACTCTAGATTGTGTAGAGTGTCAGGCACAAGTTTGTATAATGTGTGTATGTGAATATCATAATTACTATTATCGACCATCGCTATTTCAGGGTGCTCAAAATGCCATGGTCATGTAGGATTACCAAAAATGAAGTGTTACAAATAGTAAACAGAAGAATAGAGTTGCAGCATGAAGCAAAATCAGAAAAACTTCACAATTGACAATTTCATAACTAATTACGAATGGGAAAATTAAAGAAGATTGTGACTCATCAAGAAAATTACTTTCCTGTTAAACAAACTCTAAACAATTCAAACAACTAGATAAGCGGAAAAGACCCATTATCTTATGTGTAAATACTATAAGACAAACTCCAAATCAAAACTATTTCTTTTCAAGTTGATCCAAATGATCCCAGTCAGTAACCAGGCTTCTGGCAAATACTGAGGAAGATCAGAGATGTTGTGAGAAAAGTTCAGCCGCCAGTGTCAGCCCCTGAGGTCCTGAGAATTATCAGAAGTTTGGAGATTACTTGTGATGTAACCAAAAGGCACAGCTCTAAAGGATATTTGCAGACCATAACATTTGTATGTTTTAATATGTCTGAATGACCAATGATGATTTGTACTGATTTTTGTCCAAATTAGTTTCCATACTTCATTTTAAATCAGCTATTCTCAAAGCAGCAGGGTTGTTATGCAAAACTCATTATAATTTCAATGGAATTGAAACCACATGCGTGTCCACAGGGCAGTCACAGGGGGGCCATGGTCTCTCCTGGGAATCCGCTTTGACTTTAAAATTTGCATATTTAGCATGGTTTTGTGTACAACTTTGAGAATGTTTTTGGATTTGTCCCCCCTGAAAAAATTGCTACCTCTGGTTGTCAAAAAATTTTGGGGCAGGTACAATTTACACAAAAAGTTATGTTGTGATGATGATCAACACCCCTAAGAAAAATTCCTGTGGGTATCCATGAACTATAATATTGTTTTAATAAAAAAGAAATCTGAATTGTAGTAACAGTTCAATTTTTTCCTAATTTTTTACTTATGCAGGTGCCAACAAAGGCTGGGGAATGATACCATCATCATAATAATGTTAATACTGATTTGTTTGTTTGTAGAAAAATATACTAAGTGACATATAAATCCGAACACCCAGTTTAAATGGTTTTATTTTAATAAAAGTTGGTGAATGTATTTATCTTACTGTAAATAACAAGTGAACAAATTTTCAGCCTTATCAGTTGGACATTCCGGTTTTTATACTGCTTTTTTTTAATTCACTAACGCTCTAAAAATGAATATTTCAGCCGCAGTAAAGAATAAACGTTGGCGGATTTTGGTTCTTGACATCCTTTACGATCGGTTACGATGCCTAGAGTACGGAGACCTGTACGATTTCGTCAACTTAGTGAGTTTGATAGGGGCCGTATAGTGGGACTTCGGGAAGCTGGACTTGCTTTTCGGGCAATTGCAGTTAGAGTGCAAAGAAGTGTAGACACTGTGGTTAGGTGTTGTCAGGCATGGCTTCGAGAAGGCCGTACGCAAAGAGCAAGGGGCACTTAACGCCGTCGTAGAACAACAGACCGTGAAGATCGCCGCCTACGATTATTGGCCTTAAGGGACCGTTTCTCCACTACCAGGTCCATTGCAAATGAAAGGTTTGCAGAACACGGAAGACCTATTGGCATGCGAAGTGTTTACCGACGAATGACAAGTTTTGGCTTGTTTTCATACCGGCCACACTGGGTCCTCCCTTTAACTCGAGAACACCGACGTAACCGCCTTGAGTGGTGCAGACAACGGTCACTCTGGGATCAGGAATGGAACAGTATTGTCTTTAGTGACGAGTCTCGATTTTGTTTAGGCATGCACGATGGTCGTGCCAGGGTTAGAAGGCGACGTGGTGAAAGGAGGAATCCACAGTTTTTTGTTGAAAGACATGTTCATCACACTGTTAGAGTTATGGTTTGGGGTGCTATAGCTTACGGTTCCAGGTCACCTTTAATCTTCATCAGAGGTAACATAAACGCGCAGCGTTATATCCACGAAGTTCTAGAACCCCATCTTTTACCCTATCTTGACACCCTGGCAGATCCAACTTTCCAACAAGATAATGCCCGACCACATGTTGCAAGAGTCACAATAGACTTCTTTCAACATAATGATGTCACATTGTTACCATGGCCACCAAGATCTCCCGACTTATCCCCAATTGAGCACGTGTGGGATATGATGGGTAGGAGTTTGCTCAATTTGCAACGTCCTCCTCAGACTCTAGAAGCACTTCGAGAGGAGTTGGTGGTTGCCTGGAATGAGATACCACAGGAGGACATTGACCACCTGATCAGAAGCATGCCTAGGCGCGTTGGAGAATGCGTAGCACATCAGGGTGCATCCACACATTATTAAAGGTCAAAGGGCTTTAAAGCAGTGCAATCATTTTGAAATTTTTATCGTTTACTTATTATGCTTCATTAAGTACTTATACAAAATTTTATTAAAATAAAACCATTTAAACTGGGTGTTCGGATTTATATGTCACTTAGTATATATATTTAGGTATTTGCTTTAAGTTTTTCTTCTGAACCTTTCCAGATTAGTTAGTAGATAGGATTTATCTTATAATAGCTTGTCGTCAACATAGCGCAAACTGTTAATAACACATGCTGTTATAAGATCTCCCATATCACACCAAATTTCTATATACAGGGTGACTTTGAAGTTGAGTCATTAATTTTCAGATAATGATTGTAGAAGGAAGATAAACCAAAATATGTGTGTAAAAATAAAAAAAAAAAAAATGTTAAGTTGTTTAATAAAGTATCCTCCCGACAAGTATTTCAGTGCGGACCTGTATTTGATCGCGCGGTCTTGGAGCACCGGCATGCTCTCACCTGTGAGGTCTTAAGTCACCTGATTCACGAGCCCTTTGTACTACATTAACAAAGGCACGAGGGGTTGGTTGCACTCGATTGGGAAACCGATTCGCATAAATCCGTGATGCTTCCGGCAGCATTTTGTAAAGACTGCCCCCCCGTAAATAAGAATCATGTCCACAAGTTCAGCATTTTCGTAAACATGTGCCATTTTTCATTTCGTTTGAGTCACGCAACAAACATCACTATTCACTCACGCGTTACCGACTGACGAAAAACAACGTGATAAACGTTTCAAATTCTTTCTCTTTTTTGTTTCCGATGCGATGAACCGATATCCGTTGTTGCCAAACACATAATATTATTATTGAGACAGGGCGGTACTCAAACTTCTAAAGGGCTATAACTTTGTTACTTTAATTTTACCAGAAAAATGTTAAAGGAAAAAAACATTTCTTTTGATCAGATCTACTCACTGTTAAAATAAATGACTCAACTTCGAAGTCACCCTGTATAAGTATATCAATCTCAGATTTATATGTAGAGCTGGCAACGTTGCGGGATATTAATGCACAATCCGCACCCTCAAAAAATGGCCGCTGACAACCACACAAGTCACCGTGCTGCCATTGAAAAGCATGGAATTAAACCTTCAGTGTATATGTTTTGTGTAGCACGTCAAAGCGCCAGTTTTATAATCTTCATTTGCATTTTTTAAGTGATGTGCAACGATTTCGAGAAAAATTTAGCTACGGATAGTCTTCTAGAGTCTAGTAGAGTATATTTCAATACTTGTCTTGCGTGGCCATGCTATCTTTACTCGGGCCGGTAGGTTTTTCGTAACTACAAATTATATTAAAGTCGTTCTTATTTAAACTACATTTTTGTGAGTTGAGAGAAATTGTATAAGAGAACAACTCAATTTTCTTCTAGATGATTATAATCGACAATCGCTTGAAAAAAAGCTTTAGCGATAAAGAGATTCTAAATTGGAAGGGTGTATTAGAACATCACAACTATTGAGGATTTCTACTTGACTCAACAGTCACAAATGCGGAGTGCTATGAAACATTGAAGAATCAAGCAATCAAGAGTTGAAGGCACTTCTTTCCACTGCCAAACCAAGCATGGTGATCGGAGATAGATAGGACAATGACTGATAGGACAATGACCACAAACATGGCTAATCTAAGTTTGTCAAATCGAGCGACTTGTAGCGCTTCTCGGTTAATATAGTTATTCTGTTGATATAAGATACTAACGACAATTTCCATAGATTTCAATTATGAATATAAATGAATGCTTTAATAATATGTATAGCTTAAAAAGTACGATATATTTTAATGATGCTTTTACATTCTGATTATCACTGATATGGAAATGTGATTAGATATCCCTGTGTTATAATTCTTATGAAAAATCTGGTAACTCTAGTAACCTTACAGTTGTTAATGATAACTATTATTTCTTTTTGAAATAATTTGTTTTCATCACTAAATTCTAACAGTTTTTCCATGCAGGTGCTGCAGAAGACCATCACCAGAAATGAAAATAATTGGACCATAAATATTATTGATGTGTTCATACAATATGAAATTTAGATAAAAATATATTCTCAAGTAGGTAGATTCTTTTACTGTTCTGAAATGGTCAAATAGTTGTAGAGAGAGATATATGGATGATTTTACAATGGCATTTGTTATTGACGCTGCTGCTCAAACAGATAAGTGATTACTTATTTGTCAAAATAGCAAAAATATGTTAATATCACATGTCGTTATAAAATTTTCCATATATCTTTAGTAAATGCCCAATATACAGGGTAGGGTGACTTTGAAGTTGACTCATTAATTTTCAGATAATGATTGTAGAAGGAAGATAAACCAAAATATGTGTGTAAAAATAAAAAAAAATTTACCTTGTTTTATAAAGTATCCTCCCGACAAGTATTTCAGTGCGGACCTGTATTTGATCGTGAGGTCACCTGATTCACGAGCCCGTTGTACTACATTAACAAAGGCACGAGGGGTTGGTTGCACTCGATTGGGAAACCGATCCGCATAAACATGTGCCATTTTTTATTTCGTTTGAGCCACGCAACAGATACCACTATTCACTGACACTGACTGTATACAAATGAATGAAATAATTGCAAAAACATCGTTCCAAATTCTTTCGCTTTTTTGTTTCCGATGCGATGAACCGATACGGCGGATTATATCCGTTGTCGCCAAACACGAGCACATTGAGACAGGGCGGTACTCAAACTTCCAAAGGGCTATAACTTTGTTACTTTAATTTTACCAGAAAAATGGTAAAGGAAAAAAACATGTCTTTTGATCAGATCTACTCACTGTTAAAATAAATGACTCAACTTCGAAGTCACCCTGTATAATTGTACAAGAGTTTCAGATGTATGCAAAGAGCCGGCAACGTTAGTTGTTGAACAATCTGACAACCATGTGGCATCAAGAAAAAATGGCGATTGACACTGACATAAATCGACTTTGTTGCCCTATGGATAGATAGCACTTGAATAAACCTTATCCGGGTATATGTTTTGTGCTCCTACCGGTTTGTTGACTTCACATACGTCAAAATGACAATCCGAGTCCAAATCGCAAAAATTATTTGTTTTTAAAAAATGTTTTGACTTGAAAGAGGAATCCGTGGAGACGATAACATGTAATGCATCCTCCAAAGCTGAATAACTTCTCCATCAGTAAGTTATATCGAAACATCGAAGTTTTAACAAAAAAATCAGTCCAAACACTTGTCCTTATCACTGATTACCTTTTATCTGCAGGGTGAAGGCAAAATAATCCACAAGATGGACAAATACAATCATATAACGAACATAACATAGTGCATAGACGAGAGATTAACTAAGAAAATGTCAAAAGGCTCAGGAGAGTCCATGACTGTTGGATCAGTGCTATGGTTGCAGCAAGCAGATGCACTGAATACCTTCACCAAGATGTGGTATCACGTCTTCCTTTGGGCCTTGTTCTCATCGATACTAGTCCATACAGTAAGTTTCTTGGATTTACTATATCTGTATTCTTTTTGTTACTGTTGGTTGTACTTGGCTACATATTTTAAATTCAACAAAAATTGCAGCAACACTATACTTAAAAGAAGGTTGGTCTATTCCCTATGTAGGATTACATTAAAGATCATTCGCAACAGTAACACCAAAAACAAATGAACTATCACCTGGAAGGCATAAATAAAAAATATATTGACATTTTCAATTTTTGATTTAATTTTTTGGAAAAGCTCATCAGTTTGACCAAAATGGTAAATGCAGATAGTCAATCCATCATATGTGGTTTTGTTTGGCAGTCAGAAAATCATCAACCCTGATCTGAAATGAGGGTCCCGAGATGTTGCAGATTTCTTTGAAACTGTCTAACTGTGCCTGGAAAAAATCCTAAATATATATGATCTTTAGGACACTCATTTCAGTACTACATTTTTTTTTAGAATTATGCCATCAAAAAAAAAAAAACAGGAACTTTACAATTGGTAAGAGCAAAAGAATTATCAAGAATGACTGGCTATCAGATTATCTAACATGCATATGTTGTGGCTTATCTAACATTCAACTGAGAATCTTTAGTAACAAAGAGTTGTGCAAACAATTGCCATTTTGAATGAGAACTATTAGCTGTTCTATTTTTATAATACTTTGAGGCTCTTTATGAAAAGATTCTCAAAGACCATGATGAACCTGTGTTATGTACAAAGACTTGTTGCCTAGATAACTTGAGATTAGAACTTATGGAGAGTCCAAACTGACACATCTACATTTTATCTGACCCCATGACACTTTTGATGATCATATTGGGAATCATTTCTCCATATTCTAAGTTTCAGTAGCTTATAACAACTGGATATGAAAATGGACTTTTGCCCTACAAAGTTTAAAAGTAGAGTTTATCTATGAGAAGTTTTTCAAAAACCGTTGCATACCTGTGACCTTGACAGAAATTCAGACCCTGGGTATAGCATTAACATATATTCCAAATCCAAAGTCGCTTTGAACTGAAAACTCAGGTATGGTGTTAAGTTTTCTATCTCAAATTCAGTCCAATGACACTCGAACTTAGCATCCAGAGTTATATGTACTAAATATGATACCATTGAGGTTTCTTATGAAAATCTTATCAAAAACTGACTGTGAACCAAACAAAGACTATTTTTCTGCCTTCTCTGGGTAAATCTGTTATCAATGGTTCTTTCCAACAATGAATTTTTGGTAGTCTGGAATGGTCATTTACAGTTGAACACATCATCATTGTATAATTTGTATGTATGACTGTAATTTGCTGTCTCTGATAGAAATTCCTTGTTGGAAAGACGCAAATATTTCCAAATCAAACGTCATCTGGATTAATGCCTACTTATAGTACATGTTCTTTGACAGTAGAAGTCTTCAACTAAATGTTTAGTAGATTGTAGTATTGCCACTATACCCAGGCACAGGATACACACAGCCATAAAAGGCTAGCTTTCTGATCGATGTGTCGTCAAGTACTGAGAAACGGTCGGCTGATTGAATAAATTAAGATTGTTCATACATGTTACATACTTTTGAGGTGACCCTTATATTTACTCATCATTTTTCATACTTTCACAGATAGCAGCTCTAATCGCATTCCTTACATTAAGAAAACACAAATTCGGCAAGTTCTTTCCGATCTTCATTCTGCTGATGGGCCTGATGACACCCGCATTGACAGGAATCGTGACAAGTGCTGCAATCGCTTTCGTCTACAGGGCGTCCAGTCTGCCGATGAATCCCCTCTATGCGCTGTTCTGGGGCTGTGGTCAAACTGTCATCACCGGCTGTATGGGATTCACCAGGATTCTGGCAACACTGTAAACGTTGGCGTGGGATTCGTCAGGCGTAAATTGGCAGCACTGTAAACGGTGGCGTATGGGATTCGTCTATATCGGCAACAATGTAATCGGTGACGTGGGACTAAGGTGTGTGCGGTTTTAGGTCTCTTGTAGAGTATAAATGTGATGGTGCTATGGTTTGTTTGGTGTTAGTTGCTATTGGAATATCAGATACGGGGTGGGGTTGAATTTTTGGGGGTTTTATAAATGTTTTTGAATTTTCTAAATGCTTTTTGGATGTTTATCTTGGTTTTTGGTGTATTTATAAATCATATGGCACAAGTTGAATATTGATTGGACTCTATGTAAGTACTTATTTAGATATAGAATTTTATATTATATATACAGATGCACAGTTTCAACTTTGAAAGTTATTTTAATCTTTTAGCAGTTGAATAATTTTACAAGTGCCAAGAACCAAAGTAACCACAAAGAATGAAACTAGCGAAGCAGAAAATGCTTCTAGAGGCAGAATCACAAAGGGACTTCTAGAAAGATGTAAGCAGCATGATCTTAGAATCAGTTTCTTGATAAATCTTATCAGATACTGGAACTGAAAGTTAATAAAATCTCAATTCAAATAGTTTTTTTTACCAATATACCTCGAAAATGTAGCAGCATGTTGGTGTTTTCTGTATTAAACTATTGTTATTAGGATTGCCAACAAGGCTTCTCAAAAAGAAGTTACTTACATAGGACCTAAAAGACCGATTCAGTGCACTCCAGAAAAATATGTTTCTTTAACATGTCTAACATTGCCATTGTTCTCTTGGAATGTTTACATACTTTTAAGAAATCCAAATCAGTGATTTTACTGTCATCCAAAATATGCCCTTCTAATTATTGATGGTCCAAAATATTATTGACCAAAATATAAATTATAAGATTAGATATTATTATCGCAGGCTTTCGCCAGTATGTATAATATTTGCTAAGGCAAAATCACTTAGTAGATGAAGAATGTTTCTCAAATTTTGATGGCAAGTACAAGATTTTTGCCTGTGGTAAGATATGTAGCATGATGAGAGTTATTTATTTTGAGTTCTAGCTTGGCACTTCTTTATACCTACATGCAGTATACTAATTCTCTTTGGCAGCTTTAGTAGAGGATTCAGTTATCTTTGATCACTTTTCAGATTTTTTTTTAATAAATTTGTGACGTTTATAATATATTCCAGTTGTCAACAAAATTTAGGAACATTTTAGATTTCTGCACGTCCATACATGCTTGTACTTTCATATTTTTATAGTATTTATTGTGATTCTGATGTTCCAATAGGCATCAAACAAAAAAATATGTATAGGTAGACAAGTACTGGATGTATACAAGTATAAACAATATGTATATAATGCAGATTTTAGGTTCTAGTATTACTTTGTAAATACTTTGCAATGTGTACAAATATTAGCGTAAGGAGGAAGTCATGAAAGCCTAAGTCAATATATGTATTTTTACTTTCAATTCTTGAAATAAATTGATTAAACCATTTACATGATGAGTTTTTTCAGCCTAACCATATGCTATCAAATTTAACACAGGCACTCGGGAGCGGGACACGGGTAGTGGGGATAAGTGTAGCTTGGTGCTCGGAAATTAAGTCGCCATGGAGTGTTTCACCGGTGAGCAGCGTGCGTTTTGTTCGGCGCCTGTTTCGCTCTGAGCTTAGTCTACATGATCTAACTCAGTGTCCTAGTGAAAGTGTGATCAGGTCGTGGGTAAGAAAGTCTACCGGTCCTACACTGAATCAGAAACCTGCGGGGTGTCCAAGCTCAATTCGAACAGAGGCAAATGTAAGCGAAGTTGGGACGTCTCTACGGCGCGATTCACAGTTATCATCCCGAGAGATCGACTGAGCTCGCCATATCAAGAAGATCTGTAAGGGGTATTTTGATGAAAGACCTTAAATTGCATCCATATAAACTTCAACTAGTGCAGGAACTGAAACTGCAGGTCCACAATTTACGCCGTGCGTTTGCTGAAACAATGTTAGAGCGCTTTCCAAGTTTGAACAATATTCCCTTTGATGATGAAGCTCATTTGACTGGATTTGTCACGAAGCAAAATTACCGGTATTGCGCCGCAGAAAATCCCAAATTAAAACACCAACGACCCTTGCATTCGCGTTATGTTACAGTTTGGGCAGACATGTCGGCAACGGTAACAGTAAATTTTTAATCGTTACTCAGCAATGCTACCTCTACCTATCTTTCCGCAACTGCCTGGTTTCAACAAGATGGCGCGACATCCCATACCACTAACGGGTCTGTAGCAGTTGTAAACGAAATGTTTAGTGGAAAACTGATATCGCGACTAGGCGACATTTCGTGGCCTCCCTGAAGCCCAGGTCTCACGCTACTGGATTTTTTTTCTGGTAATACCTCAAGAGCCGGGTTTACGCCAGAACAAACCGACAATTGCCCAGCTCAAGCACAACATTTCCGAGGAGATGTTCGATATCCAACGAGAGATGTGTACGTACGTCTCGATGGCTCACATCTCAATAATGTTATTTTTAAAAAATAAAATTACCATGTGTCTACTTTATTAAAAATATAAATTATCTCCCCTATGCTTTGTAGTTTTTTCTATGATTTAGTCAAATCCGCTCAACTTAATGGCCCACCCTGTATTTGGGGTTGGGCATATAAATTGACTGGACTATGATGCGCTCCATCTGTAGAAAACCCCATTTGTATTGGAATGCCTCCATCACTACACTTTCGATATTGGTAGATAAGATCGGACGTAGGATGTGCCATCTCTATTCATCTCATCCAGTGTCAATCTGCAATGCAAGTGTCAACGTCACCGTTTTGTTTTGCAAAACAAATAACATCTCACTTTGCATTTTCACTGTAACTTTAAACAGTTAACTGTTTTTGTTATAGAATAGTTTATAGGGAAAACTACTTAAGTAAGTCAGAAAAATGTCTAGTGAGACTACTGTAATTCAACAAAGCTGTGATGAAGAAAAATCTCAACTAGGAAGTAAAAACATAACTTACAATGAAATTGCTGGAAAGCTGTTACAGGACAAGTTCTTGCTCACAGCTTTGGAGCTTCATACGGAGCTAGTAGAAGCTGGCAAAGAAATACGGCAGCTTAAGGATTTCTTCTCGAATCCTGGAAATTTTGAGTTTCAGACACATGATCTACCAACACATTTAAGTAAGAAAATCCGATGTAAACCATTGTTTAGCATAGGTGGAGCTAAGGGGACATAGGGGGCCAGTGTCCCCAAGTTTTCTCGCCATGGTATTTCTGCTTAAGCCTGCAGACACCACTCTTCCTCGTGCTCTCAATTTTCAATTGCGGAATAAGGTCAATTATTTATATTAGGAAACTTGCAATCCACCAAACTTTCTGTAACTCCTATTTAACAATATAAGGTATCTGTGTAATGTTTCCTTTGTAGCGAGGTCTGGTAGTCAAGTAACATTGGACAGTTTGGACCTAACAAGGTATTCAGAAGATGGTGGGGGTACAGATGAGAGGGTAGCAGTATTAGAATTTGAGCTTCGTAAGGCCAAAGATACTATCAATGCGCTAAGAAACAATTTGACAGTAGCTACAGGTATTTTTATCTTCATTTCACATATTGAACTCTATATTTTGTTTATTTTAACCCTTTAGTACTACCTAATTTATAAATTGCACATTACTAATTATATGTCTCACATACATACATATTACCATTAAAACCACTTACACTTCCTGAAATAATCACTTTATTCTATGCCATATGCTTCCAGAAATTTCTTTTGTTTTCATCATTATGTTAATTGTAAACTGGATTGATGTACAGTTTGTATTTAAATAAATTATATACTTCTGTTCCTTATACCCTAGTTTACAAGTATCCATTATGGTACAAGGACAGCTTGTTATGTAGTAATATTTCAAAATTCCCCATATCAGCATAGGACACATAATTCTCACAGATCCATCAGTGCCAGGTGGACAGGGCTTTGGTGTTTTGTAAGCTACAGATTCTTTTTGTTCTTGCTATAAGCTCTTTTATTTGAAAAGTTCATTTGCATACAAAAACCAAGACCTTACAAAAAATGTTTGCTAGATTTACACCCAATTCATTATAGCCAATGTTGCAGACTAACACAAAAATGTCACTTGCTGATCAGCTATTCACCTCAGGAGACATCGAATCGTGATGAATACTCATGAAATAGGGTATAGATGTATCATTAGTAGTTTAGGGTTAATGGCATGCAGCATACACTATTGCGTCTATTTACAAAACTACAGATGGATTGTGAAATTATACAATTTAAATGTAACATCTATATGATAGGTCATAATTTATATATTTTTGTCATTTAATTTCATGTGTGTTACATGAGAAACTAAATAATTCTTTCATTCATATAACAAATGTCAAATGCTTGGTTATGTCAATAAGATCACACCTATGATGTCACAGCAAGGCCTGGTCTAATCTATGATGTTTATATTTTGATTTTTGATTTGTTATAGAATCTGAGAACAATTCACCAACCAAAGGGCAGTTGAATCCTACTGTAGGAGGTATAAAACCTCATGAACAAAGGGCCTTAAACTTCCTTATCAATGAATACTTACTGATTCATGGCTATAAGTTGACCTCCATTACTTTTGCAGATGAAAATCAAAGCCAGGTAATATTATCTTTTATTTAGCCATCACTGTTATAACAGTCTGTAGTATTTATGCAAAGAGTTAAATTTGTCTGGTTGACCATATACCAAAATAATTGAATAACTAGGGAAAACACCATCAATCTGTTAAGATAAAGTCTAGCAACCTAGCATTCAACACAGGTCAAATTCAGATCCATATTGAGTAGACCAAAAGTCATAATGCTGTTTTATTTGCTAGATTCATTCAAATTTTAACATAGAAGGTAGAATCAATAAGGACTTATGTGATGGATAAGGCAGGAGAAATAAGGTACTTAGATAAGTAGTAAGGTTCACCATGTTTTCATCTGTTAGTTATGTAGCATATTAGCAAATTTCCCCACAATAATTGTAAAGTCTGGTTTTATTGCTGCAAGTTGTTTCAGGGGGCATTTAAAACATGGATGCATAAAATGGGTACACCAATTTTTGTGGGAAAACTTTTTATTTGACAACAAAGAATGAGAAAACGTATTTTTTGGGATTCAATCGAAAGTGTTGGCAGGAACGAAAAAACTCTTCATATAAGATTTTTAGGTTTTTATGAGACCTACAAAAAGAGACTATACGTAACAAGATCGGGCTAATAGCGAACCTGCTATGTCCAAAAACCGAGGCAAACTGCATGTTTGGGCACTTGTTGGTAATGCGACGATGGTTTCTCGCAGATATATGAAATTCTTCAAATTCGTTGGATTCGTACTTCTAAATAACCACAACAAAATTGGAGTAGATTGGTTAAGTAGCTTTTGAGAATTTCTAATTGTTTATTCCAAAACACCTATCTTCCGGCCATCACTACTAGTTTATGGAGCACTATACAGGGTTTGTGCAAGGGGCGTTTTATAGCGAAATACACAAGTTTACCTTGCCGAATCACAAATCATTCCGAAAGATAATTGATGTGCAAAACGAAGGAGATAAACAGTGAATTAAAAATTCTCAATAACTATTTGACCAATCGATTCCAGTTTTATTGTCGTTATTTAGGAGTATGCAGCCTACGAATTTGAAGAATTTCAAGTATCTAGGTGAAACTATCGTCGCATTGCCAACAAGTGCGAAAACCTGCATCTTGCCTCGGTTTTCGGTTATAACTTTTTTACTATCAGTCTGGTCTTTTTACTTGTCTCATTCTGTGGGGCTCATAAATACCTAAAAATCTTATTTGAAGAGTTTTTTCGTAACCTGCCAACACTTTCGATTGAATCCCAATAAACACGTTTTCTCATTCTTTGTTGTTGAATAAAAAGTTTTACCACAAAAATTAGTGTACCCATTTTATGCGTCCATGATTTAAATACCCCCTTGAATAACTTGCATCAATAAAACCAGACTTTACAATTACATATTTCGCAAACCAGGGGTATTTTCCTCTTAATATGATTAGACTAGTACAATGTACTTTGTTTTTATTTGTTTTTTACTCTGCTTGTTATGAATATATGCTGGTACTACTCTGTAGTCACATGGAAATAGCACTGATTCATTTATATTCTTATTGGTTCTGGGTTAAGTTTTGGCATGAATCCAGCAATATAAATGACTTGAAGATAATTTTTTTGTGTTCTGTGTATGAGTAGTATAATTGTTTTAGGATTTTGATGACTGGGATGATGTTGGTTTGAATATAGCGAAACCACCAGAGTTGTTGCATTTATATAGAGAAGGACTGAAACAAACTGGGCAAAATACCAATGCAGCATCTACCCAAACTGATCATGACAAAAATAAAGAAAAAATTAAGACTCTGGTAAGACATAAATATACTGTAGTTACTGTAGTAGCTAGTATCTTGATATAGTGATTGCAATTGAGATAATAATGCTAACCTTCATATGTTATTAATTTTTTGTTTGTTCTACATCTTATCATTGGTTTTATATATGAAATGTAAGATCTTGTTTCTCGATTTTGGTACTAGCCTATACAGTTGTAATGGCTAATTCGCTATTTTATTATTATTATTATTATTAATTTTTAGTATGGTAGACTTGAGACACTTTTTTGAATCTTGAATGTGTTTAAAAATTATGTTGAATACCGTTATCATTGTTTTTTGTAGCATAAAAATATTATGTAAGTACATATATACACTATTTCACGAGTATTCATCACACTTTGACGTCTACTGAGGTGAACAGCTGATCAGCAAGTGAGATTTTATGTTAGTCTGTGACGTTGGCAATAATGAATCGGGCGTAAATCTAGTAAAAGTTCTTTGTTTTTTCTATGCAAATGAACTTTTCTAAATAAAAGAGCTTTTAGCAAGTACAAAGTGAATCTGTGGCATACAAAAAACCAAAACAAAATATAGCTCTGTTTACCTGGCATTGATGGGTCCGTCGAAATTATGTGTCCTTTGTTGATATTATTAGAAAATCAGCAATTATTCTACCTTAATGGATACCCGTGAAAAAGACTATATCCAAGGGGGATTAACCTAATATAAAGTATTTTTAGTCACAATATTTTTTTGTACAAAATCTCCTCTTTAATATTTGAAAATGTTGTGACGTATCAGATTGAGAAAAAGATGGCTAGTTGTGTAGCAGGGATGGTTTTTTGGTAGCATTTTTTTTATAATTTAACCTCATAAAACGGATAAAAATTGTTGACAAATGTTTTTCTGCTTAAGGCAGTAATTTTGGAACCATTCAAATACAAATGCAATGTTATTTTAAATATTATACACTTGTATTTTTTTTTTCAAAAAATTAATTTTTAGATCTACGTATTATCAAAAAAAATTTCACGCATCATGCATTTTTAAATCAAACTATTTCTGTGTGCATTTTTTATAGAACCTTTTTGTATAAATTTTTTCCTTCCAATCTGATCAGATGTCTCCATTGCACTATTGTCCTGATATTAACGGTTTTCAGGCTACAAGCTGTTCATTCTTCAAGCAAAACATAGCTTATCACAAACCATCATAATTTTATGATTTTAAACTTAGTATCTTCTATAATGCCAATTTGACCCTGTTACTGGATGTTGTTTGATATCCAGACTTATTTTTTGATAGTATCAAACCATTACAATTCACTTGGTACATAAATTCCAGTCAAATTGGCTGATATTTCGGTATGATTTCGCCAGTTCGGTGTTTTTTCTTACAGAAAGCCATACATTCATCGAAGTGTTTTTAATTTATTTTGCCAACCCTGGTTCAAAACTGTATCTACTCGAAGTTCGCATTTAGTATATTTAACTTAATGAACATGATTATGGTGCCTTGATATGGTTGAAATAATATGAACTATATATCTTATCAATATGTCCTTAATGAGCAACTAGAGCACTTATTGGTTTTATCAATGGCTGTATAAAAAGCCAAAATTAAAATAATCAACAGTAGTTAACTACAATGTTTTCCAAAAAAAACATTTTCTGTGTCTTGTTGATGTTACTGGCAATGTCTATAGATCTCGATGCCTGTGACTGTACCACAAACAGTTATATGTACGACAATATGTTGGAATGTCGTAATCAATGCAAATATTTCTGTCGCCGTCACAAGTGCAAAGTGAATAGCAGATTTAAAGCTGGTTGCGACGCACTGGCCCTGTGCTCATGTATAGAGCCATAGAGCGAACCAAGTTCCTTGAATAAAGAAATAAATGTGTTTGACTACATTTGTCTACATTCAAGCTGAATAAATTGTTTAAAAAACTAACATTGCTTAATGTGAAGCCTCAATATAACAGGGATTTCTGGTATGTTTGGATAAAAAAATGGCGTCAAGTAAGTTGTATCTGTACTACTCACGCAACGCTGCCATCAGTTCGTAAATGATTATATTCGGCACAAGTTGGCCCTTCTGAGAAAACAATTCAGCTACGAACATGTATAACTCAAAATTAGGTGACTCTCCCCCTCCATGATATTGGCTTTTACAGTATACAGCCCACAGCAGTTCGGAAGCGCCTGCCGGCTGCGAGGCACGACCATCAGTCGTACCACGTATCAGCACGCGTCTATTGGAGATATTTAAGTTTTGAGGGTAAATGAACGAAGACATCTATGATGAGTGAAATATGTCTAATAGGTGTGTCCAAAAACGAAGTTTAAGCGATTTTTCGTCCTTGGCTTAGTAGTAACCTTGCGTGAGAATTTCAGCCAAATCCGTGCGGTTCTTTCCAAGTTATAGGCGGGCCAAAGATTTATCGGACAGACCGACAGTCCGATGGAAGTGAGTGACATGGTATTTCGTGATGTACATGTCATGTAAAATTCAAAAATATAATACACGTTTTCGAAATTTTTCGTGATTACAATACTTTCTTGCCATGGGAAGTATATTATAAAATCTATGCCGAGTAGGTTGGCCTCATATAATGGGTGATTCAAATTGAGTTTCCACATTACAGATAAATTTTTTTTTTGGAACACCACTGAATTTGTCAACGACAACGTGCCATTTCTAACATCAAATTTTAAACAAAATAGTCATGAAGCAATATACGACCGAACAACGTGTTAAAATTATCCAAGCCTATAATGAAAACGGCCGATCAAGGAAGCATACATTTCGTGCTTTACGAGAATTTTTTGTCGTACAAAATCGGCCTTGTGAGAGGCAGTTTCGAATTTGGTGCAAAAATTCGAGCAAACGGATCCGTCGCTAACACCAAAACCTCTAGGCGTGCTTGTAGTGGTCGGTCGGAACACAATATTGCTATTGTTGCCGAAAGTGTGGCCGAAAATCCAAGAACCTCGATTCGTCATCGATCGCAGCAACTGGACCTTACTTATTCCACTACATAGCGGATTTTAACAAAAGATTTGAAGTTACACCCATACAGATTCCAAATAACCTAGCAATTGAAGCCTAGGTCACACATCAGGGGAAACGATACAATTACTGCGCGGCAAGTTTCCAGGTCGCGTTATTTCACGTAACGGCGATATCAATTGGCCGCCGCTATCCTGTGATTTAACTCTCTTAGATTATTTTCTTTGGGGGTATTTCAAGAGCAAAGTCTCCAAGAATAACCCGAACACAATTGAACAGGAGTTCAGTCGCGAAATTACCAACTTAGGACCTGATTTGTGCCACGGAGTAGTCGAAAATTTCTCGAAACGGATTACGTCAAGCCACATGAGTTGCGGCGGTCATTTACTTGATATCATCTTATATACATGCATAATTGTAAAGAACTGCCCTGAAAGGACAAATACATACTTTTTTATAATTTTCAATTTCTTCCTTTTTTTTAAATACTTTTAATGTGGAAACCCAATTTGAATCACCCTATATTATATGCAATTACTTTAGTCATGTTTTTTGAATCATAATTCTAATCGCCTTGGGTTTGAAAGTAAACTAAATATAATTGATGACAGAATTGTGTGGGCAATACAGTTGACGCCGTTTTTTTATCTGTAATTCAAACGACCATACCATACCATACCATACTTTGGGTTCCATTTTTGATATCTGAACGCATCAGATGTAATAAGGATTTTTGCCGATATTTTGAAATGCTGATGTAACCGGACTGAATAGAATTAAGATTAATTTTCAACAATTTATTATTGTTGTGTAGTAACTTTTCAATTTTGCCCTATGCTCGAAATTTTGCTTCGCAGGAAATTAAAATTGAAGAACTAAAAGCAAAATTGCACAAACTAGAACATGACAATACAGAGCTGAACAACAACAACTTGAAACTGCAGGAGGATATAAAACTAGTATCAAACCAACTAGCTGACATATCACAGTCGACTATCAAAAGCTGCATGAACGAGTCTGTTGGCAGTGAATCGCCCGAACGATTTGAATTCATTGAAAAGAACATGCCTATATTCAGGAATAAAGATAGTATAGAGGACAATATTTCCAATAGTAGTATTAATACTAGTGAATGGATGAATGTGTGTAGTCCTACTGAGAATAGTGATAGTGGTAAAACCGACAGGAAGATCGAGGATAAGATGAAGAGTCTTGAAATAAATCGAAGGTATGACCTTGGGACATATTCTATTGAAATCAAATTTTTGCAAGATATCCTTTTGGAATGATATCGAAAATTTCCTTGAAGTAAAGTACCACTTAATTCGCGCTACTCTTGAAGGACGACAGGATGTCATGATAATTTGTTCGTTACAGTGACGTATATAAGGGTAGGCCCGGGGAACCGCACAACACCCGCGGGGGTGTTGTGCGGTTCCCCAGCTGTCGTCTTGCAATTTCAACTGTTATTTTTATGTTAAAATATAGTTTTCATGCGCCAATTTCACCACTCTGCATTGTATCTTGCTAACCTGACTTGTTCAAAAAATAAGGTGATCTTTCTGAAATCCTTAGAACTTGTATTGTATTCACCTTCATCACAAGTTAAACCGCAGTAAATTTCCCCAAAATTGAACAAAACTTTGTCAGTTTTTTAGGTGCAAAACGATCTTTCAATATTGGCCCGCCTCTCAATCAAATCTTGAAAATAAAACTAAATTGTTAAATGTTCAGCCCTCGAAAGGTTGTTTAATTGAATGTTTATTTTTTACTTTATGACAATTTCCGATTTTGAAAACATCATAATTATGGAAGCTGGACATGCCACCACCATGATTTTCTTGCCTCCCTCCCCCCCTGGACCAATGCTTCCTCCCGAACTCAGCTCTACATGCGCCACTGGTTCTTAACTTAAAATTCTGATTTATTATTTTCAGTGAAGACCCATTCATGAAAGAAGTCTTTGAAAGATGTTACACAAGCACATTGCAGAATATTGACAGTGACATGATAGAAGACATTGTAAACGAAACCATCACTGCAGACAATTTCGTGAACACAGTATCTTCTTCCCTTCTTAAAATCATCCCTAATATAATCTTGAACAAACGTGAGGATGTCATCCCTCTATTAATAGACGTGGTTCATTTGAACCCCAAAGCATCTGAAAGGGACAAACTGTTGCAACAACTGTTCAATCTGAAGAAAAAACCGTCAGAGTTTGAACGGAGTATGATATTGACCGGATTGATAGCCATAGCAAAACTTTGCGGAGAGAGCATGGTGGAAAATGAAATATTGCCGCAATGTTGGTTGCAATTGACGCACAAGCATATCGAAAGGCGACTTTTGGTTGCTGAGACTTGTCAGGCGCTGCTTCCCTATGTTTCAGTAAGTTACAGAATTGGTTAATGAAAAATTTCCACAGCCATGTTTCGGGTCATAGTATAATATGTTTATATAGTTGGATACAGCGCCATCTGAGAGACTTTGTGAAGTAGATTACTAATTATTGCAGAGAGGAGAAACATAACTGTAATTCTCTTAGATGATGCCAGGGTATCTAATTTCATATCATTTTTTGGACACCAAAAGTACCTGGCAATCTTCAAGTAGAATATATTAATCAATGGTTACAGACAGAGGACTTCTGGAAAACAATGAAAAACATGGATGAATATGCGGTATATTTTAGATTATAATTTCCTGATTAAAGCTCCCCATGCTCACAAAGCAAACAGTAGCTATTTCGAAAGAAGACAGACAAGGCGAATTAATTAGAGATAGATTTATTGCCAGATAGATAATCCTTTTTAGATGAATTTACTTTTGCAGCCAGAAAATATATTTTTCATTCAATAAAGCTATGAATTACACTTTTTGCCATTGCTTTCCGCGTCGTCAGATGTTATTCTCAAAACCTTAAGTTATCACATATTCATTAACTCTTAGGGACTTAAAAGGAAGATTACACGATTTCGTTTTCTAACCTTAAATTGCTCATTTCACCAATCTTTTGACATGGTTGCCAGTTCTCTAGACAGCCTGACCTGACGATATGTTTACTTATTATGTATGACTTTTTGACGTAAGCATCAAAAACCGTGCAACGAACTGAACTACATTTAGCTTAATATACATGTAGCGTTTTCTAAACATTTTATATCAGTTTGGCAACACCGCCTCGCTACATGCAGAGTCGCCTATGAGCGGAATGCACAAGCCAAGGACGGTAGCTGTTTTTTTTGTAAACCAGTAATAGTCTAGGAGCCGAGATCGCAAATTTTTTAACATCATAGCCTACTAATACGATACTATGAAAATCAGTCAAATCTTACGTACGAGGTATGTAAATTAAGTGATGAGACTGATTTTAAAAGAAAATAATCAAATATAATTAAAATTTTATATTGCCTCCCTCAATATAACTTTATTCTGAAGCCACGCAACGCTGGAGACGGTTCTTCCACTCCTCATAGCAGTGCTGGAACTCTGATACTGGAATAGCCTTTCACTGGTCGATTGCAGCCGTTTGATTAGTAATGAGTTCCCCTGGGTTGATTTTTCAACTTCGGGAAAAGAAAAAATGTCATAAGAACTCAAGTTAGGCGAATAAGGAGTCTGAGGAGCCACAGAATGTTTTTACGGAGCAAAAACTCATTTTCTGACATTGCTGTGTGACAAGGATCATTATCATCATGCAACACTCAGTTGATTTTGATCTGATGAATGGTGGTGTGAGTCAAATTTAACTGTTCCCCTATCATTCTGACGATGAACCGACGATCTGGAGGCACAATGCCGGATTCTGTCGATATTTTCACTGGGTCTTGAAGCCGAACGCCTTCTGCTTCGTGGTTCATCCTCCATCGACTCTCTTCCTTCTGAAAACCACCGAAAAACCTGGGCTTTCGACAAAAGACTATCTCCTTAGGCCCGTTTAGCAACAGTTTCCGTTGCAATGAACCCAAGTCTGAAGCTAAACTTGATAGCACACCGTTACTTGAAATTGATGTCACTCACTTTTAGAACACAATAGAAAAAACTTTTTTACAAAATAAAATAGCTACGGACAACCAAATGACTTGAGCGAATTCAAACTTGTACTGATGGCGGTCCACAATACCTCATGTTTACCTCTCTCCTCTCCAAGCCTGGCATCTCCAGTGCTGCTAGATCGAACGCTACGTTGCCAGTCTCATCTCATTCACATACCTCGTGCGTAGAATGATGCTTGAGCACATTTTTTTCGTACCATATCAGTACGCGAAGATGTAACCAAAAATTTGCGGTGAATGGAGTCAACTGGGAGATTATAAAGTCAATCTACTAAATTTCTTCTTTTTATACAACTACTCTTTGCACAAAGTTTGGTAATATAAAATCTGTACGGCTAAACTTCCATTTTCTTCCCTCGATGCTATAAGCAAATGAAACTAGGTAAACGTAGGTAATCTGCGGCACTTGATTCGAATACGAAGTCAAAAAATTGTGATGCGTCGTGGGACCGAATTTAGGCTATCGAAAGGGTCGCTTTAGACTCTCCGTGGGACCTACTGTCCAATTGATATAAGTTTCGGAATCTGCGCACTCCATTGAACCAGCGAATGAGTTTTTGTTTAGAGCACAATAACGCAGATACGCTGGGATTTTTTTGAATAAACCTTATTGAATACGCTCAAAATGATAAAGGACTTTGTAGAGCAAAATTTCTATTTTTGTCTTCCATTGTGACAGGGGGATATAATGTGTAGTACTGAATTCGTCAACAATGCTGAGGCGTCGTAAGGCAGAATTTGAGGTATAAATTGGACTTATCGTAAAATTCATATCGAAGACCGAATGTATGTACTCGGTTTACCCAGGGAACAAGGGGCCTGGGTTAGCCGAGTGGTTAGCGCGTTGAATACTAATTGGGCGACCTGAAGATCGCTGGTTCGAATCCCGTCTCCGAAATTAATTAAGAGCCATGGATGTTGTGTTGTGTGTTGCCTATATCACGTACCAGATCAGTGCAAGATCAATATAGGTACATCGCATTGCTGGAGCTGGTTTATTGAATAATCAGTTATACTCGGGAACCGATAAGGAAGAGAGCAGCGAAACACATCGCACACCTAGGCTAACGCGGCATATTTTCGAATTGACAAAGTCGGCGCGAGAGTATTCCGCCACATTCAGAAAGATACCGCGCTAGCATGTGCGTGCGATGTGTTTTGCTGCTCTCTTTCTCTTAGGTTTCCGAGTAAACCAGTAGATGGCTTGTAGAGTAGTACAGTGAAAGTACTACAGGGTCGGCACAAAGGGTCAGGTATTGCCTCCCTACCGCTACTACGAGTACTACCCAGGAATCAAGTTTTTTCTAAATCACAGTTACTCTGGTATGAATATGATGGTCATGAAAACATGGAGGAACTTCAATCAGGCGCTTATAAAACTTGTAATATGTAGCTAGTTTCAATGTTCCGAATGTTTTGTATGATATGCAATTTGGCACAAGGTTTTAATAAACCTTTTTGAACGTCTTCTTTTTTCAGAGTCCAATACGTAATTCACTCTGTCTCTCCATGTTGCAACAAATGCTTGAGGATAAAGAGGAAGTGGTAAGAGAAGTCGTTATTCGAGCACTGGCTGTATTAATGACGTTTTGTAATGATGACGATAAATATTTCCAATGTGAACAACTAGCAGTAAATACACTTAATGATTCGAGCAACAGTGTGGTAAATACTAGCATGCAAATATTGTTTCCTGTGCTTGGGAAATGGGCCTTAGAAAAAGGTAACTTTCTCTTTCTGACATCTGTGCAAAATAAACAGGAATGGACTCATTCCAAAATAAAATATTAACAAAGTTTTGATACCATTCTTATTATTTATTTGTATTTTCTGTAAAGTTATGTTCTATTCTACGTGGGTTACGTTAGAAGTACGGCTATCAGATCCTGAACATTTTCGGTAGTTTCCATAATAACAGAAGCTTGACTGCCAAAACGAATGCTTAGACTTTTTCCGTTAACTACTCAAAATTTTTGTAACTTCGAGACGACCCTGTCAGTTTTTTCTTGAATTATCGGCGAATATTTTAGGTCATCTCAGTTCTAGTCTGATGAAAAAGTTATTGAACAAACTAAACTACTACATAAAGGATACAGAATCTCCAACCAAAGTTAACCAATCCTCTGACAAAATACTAAGGATAATCAACGTCATAGAAAATTTATTACCATTTCTTCTTATGTCAGTTGCTACGCACGAGAATATTATGTCAAATATAGAGAAAGATATGGCAATGGAACTAAGTAAGTAGAATTTGAACAGTTTTCTTGAAATAGAAATGATATTTAAAATCGATTTATTCAGGGTGTCCCCTGTTGTTAGTCACCCAAATATTTGGAAAACTACGCATACCAGCAAAAAAGTTTTAAATAAAAGATAGTTTCGATGGGGCAAAGTTGTGGTGACCTTGATATGACATTCAAGGTTACTTCAAGGTCACATTGGAATTAAAAAGAGGAAGAAATGTTACGTCCGAGTGTCAGCTTGACCATGGCCATCAAGATTACATCAAGACATTGAAAACAATTTAACCTAGCAAACATGTTCGACTGCACAGTTGTGGTGTTAGTAGGGATCATGACCTTGACCTTCAAGGTCAAGTCAAAGTTTTCAAAGGAAACATCTCTTTATTATTCTGGAAATGGAAAAAGCAGGAAATTTAATGTCCGAATGTGACCTTCACCTCAAATAACATTTAAGCTTGACGTGACCTTGACTTTGATTATACCTTGGAATGGCCTTGAAGGAAATAGCCTGGGTCATGGTAATAATCGTATTCGGATGTAAAATTTCCTCCCCTTTTGAATTCCGAAGTGAAAATTGGGTTTTGTTTGAAAATTTTCTTTTGACCTTGAAATAATCTTAATGTCGTGGTGAAGGTAATTGTCAAGATCACCTCCATTTTGCCCCTCGAAGCCCTACAAGTTTTATTTGAAACTTTTTTTACGATGCGTAGTTTTTGGATTATTTAGTTGGGTTGATGGGAAAATGGAACACCTTGTATTCTAAGATGTTTATTTTTCGCTTTAGGACCGGACTTCAAAAACTTATGCACATACTTGACAAACCCTGAGATATTTTATAAATGTGATGTCAACTGTGGTATGCTCCTTTATGAATATGATAAATATATCGCTGAAAATCCAAATATGTCGTGGCTAGAAATTGACTGGATTGTAGATGTGATGTAAGTTTTTGGGACGTTAACAATTATTTTTTTTTTCGAATATTGAGATAAGCCTTTTTTTAATCGGCTCACATTTTCGATATATAAAGGAGCGATTATACTGGCCTATTTCAGAGGTAGAGAGGCATAACTATTTTTAAATCTGAAGCAGGAGTTTCTTTTACTTTGTTATACTGTAGAGATGCTTTGCTATCAATAAAACTTTGATGTTGGGGATATGAATACTGTACAGCTGGTTACGAAGGTTTATCATTTTTTTTTTCCTAAATTTCCAGGCTTCCAGATCTCTTCAATAACCTGCACCACATCGAAATCACACAACAATCCCTACTTCAAAGTTTCATCAATCTATTCTCTCACATTTGCATAGTATTTGGAACCAACTTCACAAAGTTCAAAATACGTCCGCTGGTACAAAATAAAATGCAAAGTCTCGAACAAGTAATCAGCAGCTTCAACCAGTTTTGTCCAAGTTTGAACATCATACCAGTGTATTTCACTGTTTTAACGTATTGTGGGGATCATGAAGAACTGATAACAACGTTGAAGAAATTTTTGTGTGCTCTGCCCTTGTGTGGATCTCCACTAGATTGTCTGGAAATTACGATACGTAGATTATGCGAAGCTGGCTTGCAGGTAAAACAAATATTTAACATCTTTAGTTTGTAATCTATTTGGAATATCCATACCTCTGACAGTATTGCAACTTATCGTTTGTTTTCGTTTGTTGTTCAATGACATATCGCCCTAACAGAAATGAACCGCCACCATATATGATGGGTTGCACCGACGAAAACAGATTTGTTTATTTCGTGAAGATGTATTCAGCATTAATGCTACAATGTCAGTGTTGTATAATTATTCTTATAAACATTTTTTTAATCAATTTTCTGTAATCTCAAATTCGAACACTGTTTAATATCATGATTTAATTTATAAAATTCAAATACTCCCTTTTTTTGAAATACAGATTTGCTAGTTATGCTATGATTACAATTTTGCCGATTGAAATACCGCCTATAATTTCATAGTTATGAGAATGACTTTTTAATTTTGTGAAGTTTCTTAATGTGGTGGTAATGAATGATTGTTCAATTTGAGTATTAAAATGAAAACTAAATAACATATACTATTTTTTACATTCAACTACAGCCGTTCTTCTAACGTAGACTCAATCTTAGCATATTTTGTTTTTATTATAAATGATTATCATTTTGTAGAATTTGTAATTTTGAAAATATGTTTTCATTTGCTGTAAACAAAATAGTTGGACAATATAAAAAATATAGAAGAATTATGGTGTTATACACAATTTGTTAGAATACATTCTGAGATTATGGGAAACTGTATAGAAGTAATTTATCTTTTTTGATTTTTCTAAATAATGTATTCAACTTTAATCTATGAATTTTTGGCCACTCTCAAGATATAATACTTATTAAAAGTAAAGTTAAAAAAGAACTTTGAAATTTATTTATTGAGAGAGCCAGACGTAGTGCTCCAGTATATTTTGTGAGATTCGTAATGTGAAGAATATAGTTGGTTTAATTTTCATCTTCGCATGAAAATTTCGCGTATGAGCCTCAGTTTTAACTCTTTTGTAGGATATTGTTATTGAATGCTTGTGGTCTGGCATAGTACATCAAAGACCTCTAGTACGATCTGCTGCGGCTTCATTGTTCTCGAGTATTATAGGAATTTGTAGCAAGGACTTTCTGAAAAGTAAGGTTACTGCTGCGTTGGTTACCTTAGCGAGCGACAACGATATGTAAGTAACTATTAACAAACATTATCTACCTGAATAAAAAGTTGTCTAATGGCGATCAGTGGTTCAAAATACATAGCCAATACTAGACACATCCACCAAATTTCACCAACAAAACTTCATTGATGTTTTCGAGGTTGCTGATACCTTAAATGATATCAATTTGTTAAAAATTGAAATGGTGGATCCAATATGGCAGGCATATTTGATTTGATATCAATTTTTTTTAAAATCTGTTTGAAGAAATGTTTTCGATTGATCTCCAATTTGAGTTTTGCATGTTTTAAGGATAGCTGATAACAAATTCAGATGGCGGACATATATGCAAGATATGGTTTAATGCGCTTGATTTTGAGTTTTATTATAATTATCAAAGCTGCAGTTAGCTGCAGCCGAAATTGGCATATTTCTCAACTGGGTGTGTACAACTACTACAACATGCTACTATTCGCTATTTGACTATGAATTACAAAAATATTATCAGTTACATGTTGTTGTTGTATCGTGTTATGTGTCGATTGGCAAGTAATACAATGCCATTTTATAATTATACATACCTTCGACTCTGCAATACATTTTACGACATCTCAATATAGCTGGTTGTTTTAAAATGTGTCACTACCCAATTACACACTTTTTTGACACAAGCTTCTTACCAGTTTAACGTTTGATGCGACATCTATCCATTCCGCATGTAGAGCGGTCTAAATGGAACTAAAGCTATCAGAAGATGACATGTATCCCTATAACTGTGAACAAAATCTGGAGTCAAACGCGGAAAATTTTTTTGGACTTTTGGCCCGATTTTTTGGTTCTTGAACCGCTGTGTGGCGTCAAAAGCAACTGAAATCTCTAAGTCTGGAACCTAACTGCTGGACCCAGGAGCAAATTTTCTAAGACATCCATATCTTTCCAGCCGATCGTATTGATTTCAAAAACGATATTCATCATTGTCGGTTTCAGATTGGTGCGTACAGCTACGATTCCAGCTTTAGGAAACCTTATAACAGACTCCACAGTCAAAGAAATCCAGGACAAAGCATACATGCAGCTGCAAACGTATCTTTCAGATAGTAACTTGAAAGAGAATCATACGTTTCTGAGGCAGCTTATAGTCACGTTAGGAAATATTGTCAATAGTTGTAGTGATAATTTCAGAAACGATGGTATGTATCTATTTGTATAAATTATTACTCGTACATCTTGGACACCAGACTTTAGGACACATGTTGCACCATTGTAATTAAGGCCTTTCATCAAGTAATAGTATGTACTTATTGATGAAAAATTACAATTCATTGATTTTACAGTTAATTCATATTCTTTGAATGCTTATGTTATTTGCAATTTCTTTAGCCTCAGATCACTGTTGAAGGACGATCCCCTTAGGAGCCAGTATCGTTAAAAAATCTGTTCATAAAAAGATCGTTCAATTCAAAATTATATTCCTATACATCTATGCACAGTAAAAAATTGGAATACATATTCCAAGTACATTGTATCATAAAAACGTACATTTAGAGACCTACTCATTTCTTCAATTCTGCACATTTTTTAGGACGACAGTGACCATTTATAAACTTGATGTGCACTCTGTTTACTTATTCCATTTGCTATTGTGATGTAACCGCCAAAGCCAAAACCCATGAAAAAAAAAACTATAAAATTGAGACCGCCTATTACTCGATAATGCAAAATTAAAATCTGGCTCATTTTTCATTTCATGGCTGATGGAGGAACTAGGCTTTGGAAATATTAAAATAACATTCTTTTTACAGTGATACTTCCTCACTTGGTAGCACTGTCGCTGTACACGTCGCAAATGAAGAATCAAACTAGAAAGGTGGATATGGCCTTAGCGTTGTTAGAAGCATTTACAAATGTTGTTTTCAATCCTCTTAATAAACAATGTAAGGGTGCGATTCTTCCAGGGTTAAGGTACGAGAACCATAATTTTACTATTTTAAGACGATCATTGATTAATATACTCCACCAGAGATACTCAGTTCAACTTAAAGCCGTGCCTCCGCGAAAATACCCTATGCTTACAACTTAACAAGGTTACTGGTAATTTGCCGTATTCCTTCCAGGGCGTGTTAGGGGACCTAAAATTAAACGAATTTCACTTTTTATATGTCTGATCGAAAATTAATAGTTTTCCAGGTTTTTCAATTTTTATGATTTTTTTAGCAATCATTCGGAGACGGGTATTATTATTAATATTTTTTATTCAACGATGAAATGCGTCATAAGAAAAATAAAAAACTGGTACAAAGTACAAACACCAAAAAACTTTTTAAGGATTAAAAATACAAAAAGTGTATATGTATTAGTTTTTAAAATACTCGAGACACTCAGCAACACTGTAAAAGCATCCTTCCAATACGCTGTTTTTTAACTTTCTTTAAAATAATTCAACGCCGTAACCTCACGCATATCTGGAGACTGGAAACTGGAGCCTTTTTATAGTAAATGTGATGAAATTGTCTTTGTTACGAGGATATCGGAATGTCATTTAAATTTGGGTTTATTTAGGACAAAATACACTAATAGCCTGAAAATATAAATGGATTCCACAGTAATGAAGAACTATGCAAGAAATGCGTGAGAATTCGATTGATTTTTGTAGTTTAATTCAAATTAAGCTAATGCATTCACAATAGGTGCAAAGATTCTATACACAAATGGAACAACAGCTATTCCGATAAATAAACATGTTTCGGTTTTCACCTTTCTTTAGAAGATAACTGAGTCTAGCTCTAAAAATTGCTAGTATTTTGAGCGTACAAATTGCTAGAAAATTTTCTGGCATACTCAGCTTTCCAAAAAAGTACTGAACATCAACATGTAGGCGTTTATTCCAATGAAACCAATTTAGATCAAACAAAAGCCTATTAACTAAATGATATTTTTCATAAGTAATTCGAGTGAGTGTATTAATTTTCCAAAAATCTTTCTGATATTGAGCGGTTTCTAGCTCCTATTTTTGCCATCTTTGTGGTAAAAGTTATTTTGCCGCGTTTATTACACGTTTAAGAAATTGCTCCGGTATAATGCTTTCTATAAAGTCTGATCAATACGTGTGTTTTCGATATCTAGATCTAGAAAAAACGTAGAAAATTTGACGATTGGCAAAGCGATGTTAGTTTTCGTTGTGACTCAACAGTGACTCTACAAAACTATAAAAGAAGCTTTCACCGAATTCAAATCATTGATCACTGCATACTTTTCTGTGTATGTGGGCCTATTGAAGAACAACATATTGTAAACATGTGACTCGGGCAGTTTCAGACCGTTATACCAGAGGAATGTCTTTAGCGTATAGTGAATGAGGCAAAATAACTGAGAGCCCCTTTTACCACAAAGGTGACACATGTACAGTTGATGGAAATCTCTACCGCAACTAAGAGGCTCGTATTGAGCAAAATTTTTGATACATTGATACACTCATATTAAATACTTATGACAAATATATTTTGGTTAATAAAATCAAATCGGTGTAATTGGTTGTTGGTTATGAATTTAACGTTGTTATACTGATGTTCAAAACCTTTTTGTAAAGCTGACTATATGGGCAAGTTTTTCCAGCAGTTTGTGTGCTCAATGTGCTAGCAATTTTTAGAGCTAGACATGTTTTTGTTCTAAGGAAATCAGACAACGGAATCTTTTTGTTGTTGTCTAGTATAGGTGTTATTTTATTGTGTATAGTATTTTTGCAGCAGTTTTGCTCTAGCACCCTCCTAATTTAAGTACAAACTAAGAAAAATGAAATTGTCATGCATTTCTTACATAGGTTTCTTATTATTCAGGCCCAAACGCCCAATTTCGGATCATTGTTAAAAAAATGATTTTTGACCATACATAATATAAAGTGAGGTTTGTTGCATCTTAGGTCCCTTATCACGCTCTGAAAGAGGTCCTTTATCATGCTCTGAAAGGAATACGGTGTAACCCTGCATATGTGCCGGTCACCGCCTTCACGTGTCAGCGTTATCACCTCTCGGTCTATTTCTGCAAGTTTCTGTCGAAATTCTGAGAATACGGAGTCTCAGAAATAATTACGAGGGAAAATGAGGGTTGACCTCCTTGGAAGGTTTATGCCACGTTTAGGGATAAACAATTACTCCGATGAAAATTCATGTGAACGTCTAAGTACAGCATATGGTTGGGCATCTTTTGTAGAGAATTTATTCATTGGTATAATACAATCTATAAATTTAATTTCCAATTTGAAAACAATGAAAAAAAATAATATATTACTTCTGTATAACATACATTCAAAATATGTACTTCTTTGTGAGATATCGGGTACGGGACACTTGAATTTTGGAGGCTGGATTTGACATCGCTGGCTTGGTTGGCTGATAGGATGATCTACTTTGGTCAAAATCGGCTTCACTGATTTGTTTTCCTCGGTGTTTTTGAGAAATTTCTTATGCGCCTGATCCAGGCGTCTTGCCACGCTGTCCTTTTGTAGCATCTCCCAAAGTATGTCATCTGAAATGCAGTTTTGGAACCGCTCAGCTCTTTTATATATGTTCTTAAGGTACCACTCTAATTTAAGAATGCCACTTTCACTTATGCGTGGGAACACAGCAGTACTTCCGAATGTTAGTACAGTGTAAATGCCTGGTTCAGTTATTTTCAATTTCACTTCTATAACTTGGAGCTGGTCAACGATTGGAGTCAGAACGTAAGCAGCACGATTAGCCTTAAGGATTCTTTCTTTAATGAGGCAGTCCGTGCTTACTGTCTTATTAAGATTGAGCCCAAGGTATTTCATCGAGGACGGGGGTTATGCTGTTGGCTCCCCATTCCCGCCAAACACGATCTGTTTAGGGTACGTTCGTGTTCGTCCAAATACAAAACTCGGTTTTCTGATTATTACAAGTAAGTCCCCACCGATCATAGTGATCAAATATTTCTTCCATTGCCCACTTTGCTGTCATGATAACTGTTTTGCTGTTTGGATTCATTTAGCACTCACAAATCATCTGAGTATTGTGACGTCGTTTGTCCTGCAATGTTTTCTACTGGCAGATCAGCAATGTGTAGGTTCCACAGGTAGGGTCCTAGGATAGATCCATGGGGTACTCCATAGAGTTGGTGGTATATTTTTGTTTTGACATGATTGGTTATGCCGCGTGTTTATCGGATGAGCAAATATTTTTCTATAATCTTGATAACATTGCTACGGATATCCGTTTGTTGTAACTTGTAAATACCAGCACTATGAGTTATAGAGTCAAAGGCTTTTGAGATATCGGTAGTAACCGCTGCTACATGATATCGTTGTCAAAGTGCATCTGTAATGACTTTAACTGTTCGAAAAAGTTGCGTTTGTGTATAACTTTCTCTACAATTTTACCCATTATATTGAGCAAGGTGATTGGCTTGGTTGCTTCTGGTAGTCTAAGATCTCTAAAACCTTTATGGAGAAATATTAATTTCCAAAGTTGAGGAAAATATCCATTACTAAGAATTCAATTTATAATGTGAGCCAGTTGAGCTTTAACCGTGGCCCCTGGATGTTTTATAGCATTTATTTGAATACCATCTGGTCCTGGTGCCTTTGAAGATTTGAATGTGCTTATTACATTATTTAATTCTAGAAGGGCTGTCGTCTCAAGAAGAGGTGAGAATGGGGTATTTTTTTCTAATCCCTTGAGACTAAATATTTGTGTCTTTAACTAAAGCGGCATTAACAAGTGTCGGTAAGCACAACCAAAGACTTCATGCCCTAGCCTAGATGCGATGAGCCCTTGGAAAGTACTGCAATATGTAATGATAAATTTAAATTTGCCATATCGACAGCTTGGTTTGGAATTGAACTGTACTGGACGATCAATAGTGTTACTTCAGTACATAATATTGTAGCAAATTTATTACGCTATAAGTAAATATACGCTTGGAAATAGATATACTATTGAGGTGTGACCTTGTGATTTAAAACGCGGGGTATAACAAAAAGGTACCAAAACTAGAACATAACTTAATGGGCTAAAAATGCAATGTACTGATATTGCAGAATTGGAGAATTAGTTTCGTATGTGCAGTCGTTTCAGTTCATTTTAGAGTAACGGTCGTTGTAGATTTCAGTCGTATAAATAACTGAATATACATATAACGTATCGCATATATACGAGGTTATCCTCAGGCCCAACGAGGATGACGCAATGCCAATTTATCTGGTCGCCCAACATCAGCAGATCATTTTCTACTTTGGATGATCTACCGGATTTCGGTTACAAAAAAAGGTTGTCACATGCCAAAATCACATAACCTTTCTTTTTACTATTTTAATCACTCACTAGTAATTTGAATTTCTCTATTAATTGTAGAGAGCCAAGTCCTAGGCCAAACCCTTTTCAATGATTTTCTTAAATTTTGCTATTTCAGTGAATTGTATTATTAACCCATTAAGCTCTGTTTGAGTTTTGGCTTTTATGCCCCGCGTTTTATGCTACAAGTTGAAACCACACAACACTTAATCGGTTTAAAACATATTTAAATAATCGATCCAAAATTGTAAAATTATCAAGAAATTATATTTCAAATAAATTAAATATAAACGCAGGAGTACCTCAAAGATCGGTATTAGGTCCAATCCTATTCTTAGTCTATATCAATGATTTAATGACCTTAAACATATATGGTTATCTTTGGGTAAAATACGTGAATTAATAGTAAAACTGAATTTCCTTCCAGGTACTTAGAAACAGTAATTTTAGAAAACCAATCGCTCATCCATCATTGTGACACTGTAGTCTCCATGATCAAAGAATGTGATAATAGAGTAGATGTCGCCACTAACCAAATGCCGACTGAGAACACGTCAAAGCTCACGCAAAACGTCAACCAGAGCGTGGAGGAGATGCGGCAAAGAGTCAGTAAAATATTCAATAAACCAGGAATGCCCAAGCCAAATGCTTTACCGAATTTGCAAGGAATATTCAAGAAGAAATGAGTTTCTACTTAGATTTTTTTATCCATAGTAGTGTTTCGCAATTTGAGGTTAGGTTGGTACAAAAACCGTTTATTTTTTAGTTAACGTTTAACTTATCAGAAATCAGTGATTTATGTGTTAAATAAAGTTAATGTTAACGTATGAGAGGTAACTGTGATTGCTAAAGCTCTATATTATGAAAGGTTTTGGATCTTTTATAATAGAGTCATCCTGAAGTACGCTGTCTCTGCGGAATGTGGGATTCATATACCAAAAAAGCATCTACATTTCTCAAGGAAATGTTCAAGGCGTGTACAAATATATAAAAAATTAGGGGTCCAGTGTTCATCTCATGCTCAAAATGACGACTTTATTGTAACAGGATCCTAGACAGGTTGCCCAGTTATCTGTCGTGTTCCTGTTTTAAAAAAAAAAACTCCATCGTAACTACCCCATCATGAGATATATTCTTGTCGGCAAAAAGTGCCTTTAGTATAAGTTTACACCTGTGGAAGTGTATAGTGATAGAATCGGCCAAACATTTTTCTCTTACAATAGCTGTAATTGATATACAAATAGTAAGATACAAACATATTGGCAAGCTCTTAATAACATTATTATTTTTAAATTTGTGACAACATGTTTCCTCAATTCTTCCCAAAAATGAGTGGAGTGCGCATTGTGAAAATTATTTTAAATTCGTAAGTACTGAGGCTCATTTTCCACTTAAGCTCTCGAAAATGCATTGAAATAATTTTTCAGGGGTAAACTGTTTCACATAATTGAAAAGTACTTACTATGCACTTTCAAATTTTTTACATTTTGCATGCTGGTTGTTAGTGTTATTGATCTTAAAGTTATTTATCTTTGTTTTCTAGTTATAGCTTATAAATGTTCATAGTAGGAATAAGATATCGATTGTACTTGATAGTTATATTTTTAGTATGTATAAAAATAAAATTTTCCATAAATTTTACGGAAGTATATGCACTATTTTATCATCTAGCATACTTTTTTTGTGAAACATGAGGAAAACCGTTGAGCGTGTTGGCTTCATCACGCCCGAAATGAATGCACATATGCAACTACAAAAGTAGACACACATGCCCATACATCCGGATATGGGTGTAACCTGAGGACACGAAGATGGAGAGAGAACAAAACGACACACGAAGTCACCAACAAGAGCCTTATCGTATAATGGCCAGAAGACCTCGAGTTTCGAGTGATAAAGTGGGCTGTAGAAATTAATTCTGACTTCAACTAATATGCAAAACTGCATTATAGTTTGCTGTTCCCTGCCAAAGTCTCCCTAACTAACTCACAAGCATAAATAGCAGTACCAGGTGCTGTTGTGACCCCATATCCCCCATGTCCATAATTATGAACAATTTTTATTTTCTTCCCATTGCAGTGCCTAACTTCTTTCTCCACTCTAACCGGATCCCTATGAGGTCTCAATCCCACTAACTCCTTGATAGGCTTGGCGCTTTTCAAGTTCGGTACAAGTGCTTCGCATCTTTCTTTGATATTGAGACTGTCGTACTTATTGACACTTTGTTCGTATGAGTCGTATTGGCGACATCCGCCTAAGGTGACCGAGTTGATTCCTGGGATGATGTAAGTGTCATAGTCGCCGTAAAAGAATGTTTTTATCCAGGGAGCCTGCACCTATAAAATGGATTTTGATTAGTATTTAAAAAAACAAAGGACATTCGGTGGCATGTCCGCAGTAAAGGAGCAAGAGCAGAAATAGAGGGATTGGTAATCCGAGCGATGTACGTTTCTGCTTATTGGCTTCATCAGGCCCAAATGGAGTGCATGGAAAACACCGAAGTAAAAACATATGTCCATCACATCTAGATACGGGTGATTAAACCTTCAGGTTACAGAAGGAAAACAAGGATGGAAGAGATATACATCTAGAAGCCACCAGCAAGAACCCGCACGCACAATCGTGGCTACTAGTCATCAACTTACGTTACCACGGTCAGCTATAGCTACTTGCCCATGAGTAAATACAAAGGGAGTCAAGTAGTTTTGCGGAAACTTGGATGGAAAACAAAGAACAATTGAAGGCATGTCCGCAATAAAGGGACAGGAGCAGAAATAGAAGGATTGGTCACACGAGCGACGTACGTTTCTGTTTATTGGCTTCATCAGTGCTTATTTGCAATCTTGAAATTAAAGCCCAACATCAATCAAAACTCACTCTTAGATATATATTACGCGCTTGTCTATTCTCACCTCACTAAAAAATATAATCATATGGGGACAGGCAAAATTATTAACAACTTGTAAAGAATCCTTTAGACGCTATAATCTGTTTACTTGAACTTCCATCAATCTTTACAAATGGGCCATCTTCGCATTTGAACACAGCAATAAATTTGTTAAAATATCCGTTTGCACCAAATTGTTCAAGCTTTCCATTTATATCATCTGTTATATAGCCTTAAATTTCCTTCGATTCAAAAAGAAAATATAGCCTTACAATAGGAGGGAAATCTAGACATACCCCAGCCTTTCTGGAGGATAAGAAAATCTATGAAAATCAAGGAGGCTATACAGGCTTCCTACAATTACTGCAGGAACGACTGACGATACGGTCCCAAAGGGATGCAAGTTACAAAAGTTGATAACACTACTTCATCAAAAATTGAAAATACGTTAGGTGTTCCACAGGGCAGTATCCTTTGGAACACTTCTTTTTATTTTATATATAAACGATTTACCTTTGATTTTTATAAGTACTAAAACTATACAGACTGGTATCTCTTATATAAATGAAGACTTGAAACTTGTTTCAAAATAGTTAGCATCACACTCAAAAGTAAAACGAAAGCTATGTTAACTGCAAAAAAACAATGTACAAATGTTCAACTAAATATTGATGGTGATGACTTGACAAATGTTTATGGCGCGAATTTTCAGGTTTGGGTGATTTCTCAACAATCACATGAAATTTGACATTTCAGTTTAAATAATGAAAAAAACATGTGAGATATGGGGGAGACTGCGATGTATATCTATCGTCAATACCCGTAAATTCTAAAAACTGGCGAATGTAATAGTTTAAGATACAGGGTTTGTCCGGAAAGTAATAGGACTGAGTCGATTTAAAAAATTTATTGAGTCAATCGTTACAATTCTTTAAAAACTTTCAAAATAGGCTCCTTCTGCGTCGATGCAGCGCTGCCAGCGCGATTTCCAAGCATTGAAGGCGTCACGGAAGGCATTCTTCGGAATAGCCTTGAGAGCCGCGGAGCGTGCTGCTTTGATCCCCTCTGTCGTCTCAAAATGCTTGCCTTTCATCGGCCTTTTCAGGCGAGAAAACAAAAAAAGTCCGAGGGGGCCACATCTGGACTGTAGGGCGGCTGCGGAAGCGTTGGGATGCCGGCCGTGGTCAGGTAGCTGTTCACAAGAAAGGCGGTGTGAGCCGGGGCGTTCCAGTCGGCTGCGATGTCTTGTCGGACCCGACTGACCCTTCGTTTGTGTCTCCTGAGCACTTCCACGTAAAACTTGGCGTTAACGGATTGTCCAGGAGGAACAAATTCATGGTGGACGATGCCTTTGATGTCAAAAAAGACAATGAGCATCCTTTTCACTTTGGATTTGCTCATTTTTTTTTTTGGCGAGGAGACGCCGTCGTGTGCCACTCGGAAGATTGCCTCTTTGCCTCGGGATCATACTCAAAGATCCACGACTCGTCACCTGTGATTACGTTATTCAAAAATTGGGAGTCACTTTTACACATGTTCAAATTTTCTTGGCACACTTCCACTCGCCGCAATTTCTGGTAGTCAGTGAGCACTTTTGGGACCATCTTCGCGCACACCTTGCGCATGTTCAAATGCTGTGTCACAATGTCATGAACCACAGATTTTGGTAAATTTAACATCTGGGCAATTAAATGAATACTTAGTCGACGGTCTAAGTTCAAAACTTTGCGTACACGAGTCACATTATCGGTATTTGTCGAAGTCGAAGGTCTTTCAGCACGGTCTTCATCAGCGACCTCTTCCCGGCCCTCCAAAAAGGCCTGGTGCCACCGAAACACACCACTTCTTGCTAAAGCAACACCTGGGTAAGCCTGCTTGATCATATCAAACGTCTCTGTCGCAGATTTACCGAGTTTCACACAGAATTTAATCGCGTACCTCTGCTCTAACGAACGCTGCATTTTCGGCTTGCACCACTCACAGAAAGACGTCGCGCGAAAATGCCTGTCCTGACTCTACAAGTGCTCGGAGACAACTGAACATGAACAGCCGCTCATTCGTTAGCTAGGAACGCCCTCTACCCAATCCAGTCGGTGCGCGCACGCTCAGAAGTAAAGTCATGGCGGAAGAAAATGAGTCCTATTACTTTCCGGACAAACCCTGTATATATTAAGCTAGACCTTGATGGATCTAACGCCCAGATAAAAAATATTTTCATAAAATACAATATGTTAAAAAAGAATCCGTAAATTAATATATACCTTGATAACTTGTCCTCTTATGGGAACCAACTTATTATCATCACATAGGTGTTTTGCACCTAAACCAGTACAGTTGACTAATATGTCATAACCTAGAGAAATGGATGCAAAATCTTCTACGTGATGCTTTTGGATTTTCCCTCCTCTCTCTAAAAACTTGTTGGCGGCCCAGGGTAAGTAGTATTCACACGAAGTGAGGACTGTTGTGAAGAAAGAGCCGTATAGCCAGTCTCCAGGGCATAGTTTAAGTTCTTTTTCAGTAGCGGGGCGATATACGGGGACCAATTTCTCTATATAATGATTCTGAAAAAACACATCTTTTTGAGGGGTATTTTGGAAAACGGAGCGTGATACATTTTTTATTTCATATATTTATTTTGTTTTCGGAGATGCTAGCGTAAAAATTGCTTACCCTGACGATATTTGGGTATTTGCTGGAAAATATATACCCTGAGACTTGAGTCACACCTGCTAAAGCCCCTTCTGAAGTGTTTCTCAAGTAATCCCAGTATCGATAAGCATCGCTTATCCAACGTCTGGAAATATAGAGAGAGTTGCCTTTACAAAAATTCTGATGTCTATAGAAGAGCCAAAAGTTGATGTATTTTGAATCTTGGTAAATAAAAACTGAGGGCACTAGAAAGAATTTGCGAAGGTAGATATGTAGAGAATTTTTATAAGCATTCTTCATGTCGTGCGACTTTTAATCTGTAGATTGTTTACGTCCACTTTTCAAAAAATGATGTAGTTATATTCCTCAGCCGCTGTGCCATTGTAAAAAAAAACGCATTTAAAATTAATTGTAAGAGGAAGTCGTGATCAAATTTTGGAGTTAAAATATCCAATATATCATTGTATCCTCCAAATAATGTATTACGCCATTTCGATACAGTATAGATTCGTCCAGTCTGTATTCTGTACAAAGGAGGAAGAGTCATCAGATAGACAGCACTTACGCCCTATTGTGCCCCTTGTACGCCCCCTCAGGGGTCGCTCAAGGCCGGACCGTCGTCCACACCAGACTAATGGTTCGACGGAGTGGAATTTCCCTTACGCTGACCATAGAAGACCAGCGTTCTCCTGGAATGCATTCTACGATAGATAGTACAACTGGGCAGTCACAAAGCAAGTCCTTGACTGTCTAATCTTCCTGTTCATAACCTCTGGATAAGGATATCACCCAATTTCATGTTATACCCTATCTCACGAGTATCCATCACGGTAGAATGACAGCTGATTATCTAATAATATCTCAAAATTCCTCATATCGGCACAGGACACGTAAAGGTTGATTCTCACTATACATTCCGTAACCGTTCCGTAAATTATTGAAATTAAATATTCGCCTTCGCTTAAAGCAGGCTATTGCGTGTGTATGCACATTATCCGTATACTATGTATACAATCAAATTGTACTGAACGTCTACAAAACTGATATGGAATGGAAACGGAATGTATAGTGAGAATCAACCTTAATTCTGCCGTCAACGCCAGGTAGAGAGCCGAATTTTGTTTTGTTTTTTTGTACGCTACATATTCATGTTGTACTTGCTAACAGCTCTTTTATTTAGAAAGTTCATTTGCATACAAAAAACATAACGCCACAAACAAGTTTTACTGGATTTAAACCCGATACATTACTGCCAACGTTGCAGACTAACACAAAAATGTCACTTGCTGATCAGCTGTTCACCTGAGTAGACGTCAAAGCGTGATGGATACTCGTGAAATAGGGTATACAGACTTGTTTCCTAAGCTGACAGTGTCCAGTGGCAAACCGAAGTTTGTTGTCTGGACAAAGACATTTAGTGTTTTGCTATTTCCTGACTAGGATAGCTGAGGAATTCTTTAGCGAATGAGCAGCCCGACTTATCATCTCACATGCTCTTGAAGTGTGCTCTTTTAGCATAGTTGTCAGGGCTCTGATGGATAAAATGCAGAGAGGCTCTGGGCCCAACATTTTGGTATCGGCAGCCCTTTTTGCCAGTCTATCAGCTATAATATTACCCTTGGATTGTGAATGACCCTTCATCCAGGCAACAGTTATGTTGTTACTGGTAGAGGCATTCCCAAGTGCCAAATGGCAGTTCAGTACTGTTCTCGTTGTAAGCTTGGAACAATTGAAACTCGGTATTACTTCAGTGCAGATCCTAATATTTTTGCTTGTCACATTCCTGTGGGTAATTTCCTTTGCAGCTAAGGTAATGCTAGCTAATGCGACCTACGTCACGGTGGCACGTTTATTCATAGACCACTTTACAATTTATAGAGAGGCAAACCTTCCTTGATCTGTTTTTCAGAAGCTGTGGAAGATAAAAGATAAACTTTGGAGGGATGATGTCTGTATCAGCCTGCAGGAGTGGCATATGTGTAACTGTCATGTTCCACAGGCCACTTTTAGCCGTCCCACACGCTATACTGGGCTGTATCTGATTTGAAGCGTCCAGTCGTCAGAGCATGCTTCCGAGTGCTTTATTTCTTCTTGAGGATTTCATAATAAGCTAGCTGTACTTGGTACTGAAGAGCTGTTAGTGTTTGCAGAGGATGATGTAAAGAGACACATTATCAATGGGCGAGCTCTACAGATCTAAGGAGTCAAAGAAGCACCCTGACTTCCATTATTGAGGCAGTTCATTGTAGCTCTAGTGTTACGGGAACAAGCATAATCTCGGTGGAAAGTAGAAGTGTAACGCCTTTCTAACTGGTTCAAGAGGATACCCTCGCAAAATTAGGCAACCATAGTTACACCATCATGTATGGCCGCTTACGGGTGCGCGTGAGTGATTGCGGGAGCTTCGATCGTCGTTCGAGAGCATCAAAATGAATCTGCTGTCATCTAGATCACTTCCACTGACTCGGCCGGGAAAACCATGGAACATTTCTCGACTCCCCGATAGGAAAATAAATACCCAACCAGATGGCGGATGCAGTCAGTCACAGTCGAAACAGTCAGTCAGTGGCCAGCGAGCGCGAGTCCAGTCGTCATAGTTTTAAATTCGTTATAAATTACTGTTCAAGTAATAAATTAGTCTAGAGACAGTAAAAACGGTGGTTTCGTTACAATAGATTTCGCAAGCATCTGGGGAAATAGTAAAGGTTAAAGTTTCCTGGAAATACCATTGTGGCGACTACCGTCTTTAATGGAAATTAGCCGCATAAGTAATGGCGCCCCAAACCCAAACCACAACTCCTACAGTATCGCACAAGTAACGTTCAACAGAAACAACGTCAATCTTAGCGGCACCTTCTGGCACGCGCCTGTTCATTAAACATTTCTAAACAAAACCGTGACCGATGTAATTGGGATGATGAATGGTCACACTGATTTAGTGACACCAGTTAGAAGGTGGCACGGAAAAAGACTTAAAATATTTAGTCACATGCACTACGCTGAAGGAGTTATGGTTTGTGGTGCCATTACATATGGTGCTGTCACCTCTAGTTTCCCCTAGGGGTGGTACGGCAATACGCCAAGAAATAGTGGAACCTGATCTTTGGCTGTGCTCTAACGGTTGAGAACCCTATTTTCCAATGAGCTAATGCCCGTCGCCATATTGCTAGGGCTATAACCCCGATAGCATTAAATATTTTAAAAAAATGTTTGTTAAATATTTGTAGCGACAGATTTTTTAATATTTGAATAAATATATTTCTTATATATTTATAAAATATTCATTATAAATGTTTGTAATATATATAATCATATATATTTGCGATATTTTTTCCAAATATTTTGATAATATTTGAGGAAATATTTTAAAATATCAATTTTATATTTTGATGAAATATCTAATAATTTTCGTATGTATGGATTTTCAAGCATTAATCTGATTATATATATATATATATATATATATATATATATATTCAGTGTAGATAGAAAATTCTTCATTGGTTATTTTAGCAAAACCTGTAGGAATGCTTATATAAAATTGGGTTTATAAAGAAAATTCATTCTAGATATAATGGTTTAATTTGCTAGAAAAATCTTATCAAAAAACCTTTCTAAGCCTCTTCTGTATGTTGCAAGTCCACTCCTCTGAAAAAAAACAAACTTACTAATTATGAAGTATTATTTAATACATAAGCTGCTTTCTAGTGTATTTATTGGTGCTGAGCATGGTGAGTTACTCCGAGTAGCTCAACTGGGTCACTGAAAAGCAGCTCTATAATGCACCTAAAAGGACCCCACATGTTATGCCTATGATAGTTCCAGATTTGGTTAATTTTTAAGAAAATTTTGTAGGTATGTCATTTTAGATATCTTGATGAAAAATATCCATGATTCTTTGACTAACACTTATCGATTTTATTGAAATGTGACTTTTTTTTAGTAGTACACTACACTTCAAGGCGAGTTATAAAATAAATTAAGCTATGTAATTATCGAAAAACTTACCCTTTTCCACAAAAAAAAACACTCAAATAATGAACCACTTGGAGATACACGGGAAGCACACTATCATAGTGAAAGTCACATGTAAAATGGCTGCCGTCTCAGGCCGACTTGCTATTATCCCATTGGTCGCTCGAGGTCACACGCACATGCGCCGTAGACGAAAATATTTAAGGAATATTTTCTAAACATTGGAGATTTAATATTTTCCATTGATTGAAAAGTAAATATTTAATGAATATTATAAAAGAAATATTGTATTTAAAATGTTTAAAAGATATTGAATAAATATCTAATAAAAATATTATAGGTATTACAAATATTTATTAAATAATTGTTTAAGAAAACAAATATTCAAGTAAGATAAAAATATTATTACTTAAACATTAAATGGATATTTAATGAATATTTCGTGCTATCGGGGAATGAACTGTCTTAATAATATTCAGGTCAGCGTCCACCGTTGGCCGCCTACATCTACAAACCTTTTATCTATTGATGAATATATGTGGAACATGATGTACACCTAGCTCAATACATAAATCACTTTCTCCAAAGCATCTTCGACGGCTGAAAGGGGCGGCCCAACAAGGAAATCCGACGATACAGTAAATTTCAAACTCCAATCACGTTTTCCTCTTACTTTATGTCTGTGTATATAGTACTTAAACATTAAAATCAAATAATTTTATCGGGTGATCTATTTTCTTTGTCACTTAGTATATATACTACGTTTGAAATCGTTGATAAAAACGCTTAAAATATATTTTTGTCCGAATCTGAGATTGGTTTGACCCGTACACCCTCAAAATTTCTAATAAATTGTAAAAAACAGTTAAAAATCGCAAAAAAGTGTACTTATGCAAATGTAAAGATTTTTCTCGACCTAGATCAAACGTATTTCAATGTGCTTAACACAAATTTGAAGTTGATTTAGCTTATAGACCTTCCAAATTTCGAGTAAATCGCATTGAATTGCCAGAAATCGCAAACGTTGCAGTTATACAACAGAATTTTTTTTTTCGAGATGGATCAATTGAATATTATATGTATTTAGTTGCACTGAATCCAAATCTGGAGTTTATTTAGATTGTTCATTTGACTTGCTAAAAAACTGGGAAAAATGCTACTCATGCCAAAATCTGGCTTCCTTGATACCTACTTATGTACGTCTTGGTGAAATCGTTCTTATTCTGAGATCTATAGCTTGTTCCTGTTATCAGGGCACCTTCACGCAGTGACGGTGGGCAACAACACTGTTGACAGAGTCCCTGGGTTAATGGCGAGTTATGCTGAGATGGCATCGAAATACATAACCATAGGTGGGTCTAGTTAAATGTACAGACCACTTTTTTATTTTTGTGTGCGGGTGATAATCACTCGAAACACAAATTTTGGGAAATGCCCTCATTTCATTTTACCGCGTTATACATTCCTTTATACCTTGTACAAATTGATGTCTCTTGTAGTGTACAAAAATATGTGTATTTGTTACCGTGTTATTTCTTCATTTGGTCCACAAAAACTGGTTCCTGGTCTAAACAATCCAGCGGCCACATTGCTTGTAGTATCAGATTCGAAACAACTAGCAATCACATCAATATGCGCATTCCTGTATAATTTTTGAAGTTCAAGTGCAGTAGTTAAGCCAACAACACCTGCGCCTAGCACGGCTATATTTAGGTCGCTCATTTTTTTGTTGCACAATTCTGAAAAATAACTTGCAAGGTTCTATTTGGTTGTACTGTGTTTTAAGTTGAATATTTGTTGCAGCGAGTACTGTTGTACGGTTATTTCTTTACCGCATACTTGTAAACAGATGTGAATGTCAGATAAAATGAGGATACTTTATTTATAGTCTAAATAACTACGTCACATCAATTCATCTGTTTGTATTGTAATTTACTCGGTTTTCAGATTGTTTCTTTAGAAACTGCTGATCACTGAGCACGATATATAAATCAAATTCAAGCGGATAACCAAATGGAAATGGTATTTACCATTTTGGGTTGGTATTTACCTATCCGTTCAAGCGAGTGTAGTTATCAGTTTGGTTATAAGATCCGTGACGTCACGAATCAGCTGTTATATGTCATAGTTATCACCGCAAAATTGTGGTATTTACCCAACTCAAGAGTAGTTTTATATTTCTGGTTATTATTTGAAATGTGACAAGTTAGAATTTTGCCGGGTATTGGATATTGTTATTGTACTTCAGCTTCATTTTTGAGAAAAATGATACAGGCTGACTTCAGTTTCACCATAAGCACCTTATTAGTTATACTCATTACGGTTGTTGGGGACATTTTAAATGTAGTTCCTATGCTTAACAAAGTATCCGCTGTAGCCATATACCACAAGAATATTAAAATATGGCCATATAAACTCACTAGATGATATCCACCTGTATACGGTTTTGCTAATTTCTTTTTTCATCATTTCTGCTGAATCAATAAATGTTTTCTTTGACATGCGGAAAAATTTAGAGAATTGAAAGTTATCACAGCTACAAAGCCATGGTTCCATCATTAAAAAAAAAATCTGAAAAAACATTTCTCCCATGAATATTATGAAAGGTTTCTTATTTAAACTTTCCATATACAGTTGTAGACGAAAAAGCACCGATTATTAAGTGATAATAAAAATAATTAGAGATTATATACGCGCTTTTCTAAAATAAACAACTTGCAACAAAACCGCGGTTAAAACCAACGCGTTCAAGCGATTCGTTTAACTGACGTCATCAACCCGTGTGTCATCTTGAACCATATTATAACCGCGGCACATAACACAGAAATTTTGGTTATTCGCTTGGATTTGATTATAGTAAGATAAGCACTACCCATTACAATTGACGTTTTGTTAAAGCAACAAGTCTTACGCACGCGCGTTGTATGTCACATAGAATCGATAACTTTCATATACAGGGTGACTTCGAAGTTGAGTCATTTATTTTAACAGTGAGTAGATCTGATCAAAAGAAATGTTTTTTTCCTTTAACATTTTTCTGGTAAAATTAAAGTAACAAAGTTATAGCCCTTTAGAAGTTTGAGAACCGCCTTGTCTCAATAATAATATTATGTGCTCGTGTTTGGCAACACCGGATATATCGGTTCATCGCATCGGAAACAAAAAAGCGAAAGAATTTGAAACGTTTATCACGATGTTTTTCATCATTCGGTAACGCGTGAGTGAATAGTGGTGTTTGTTGCGTGGCTCAAACGAAATAAAAAATGGCACATGTTTACGAAAATGCTCAACTTGTGGACATGATTCTTATTTACGGGGGGGGAGTCTTTACAAAATGCTGCCGCGGCATCACGGATTTGTGCGAATGTAGTACAAAGGGCTCGTGAATCAGGTGACTTAAGACCTCACAGGGGAGGGCATGCCGGTGCTCCAAGACCGCACGATCAAATACAGGTCCGCACTGAAATACTTGTCGGGAGGATACTTTATAAAACACAACGATTTTTTTTTATTTTTTTTTTATTTTTACACACATATTTTGGTTTATCTTCCCTCTACAATCATTATCTGAAAATTAATGACTCAACTTCAAAGTCACCCTGTATAAAAAAACGCAAAACTTGTTTCTGAAGCGTAGTACACAAAATGGCGTCAAGTAAGTTGACTCTGAACTTCCTTCGTCACGCTGTCATCAATTCATAAATGATTGTTAGGCACAAGTTACTTAGGAAAAAGTTGGCTACGAACATGTATAACAAAGGAATTAAATGGATCATGTCAATCAATCAGGCTCATACAATTAGTTATGATCCCCACAGATTTGTCAACATATATCGATCCAGTCTACCGCCCTACCGACCACCCAGCAACGTGTCAACTATGCCCGCGACACTCGCAAACTAAAGACGACATTGTTATCCATCAGCATTCAAAGCAGACAGGCGTACACTAGACGAGATATGCGGTACGCGTTCTCGAAAATATATCTATCATTCATGTTTTAAGGGCAAATCTATGATGTACGAAACATGTCAGATAGGTGCGTAGAATTACCTTGTTTTTAAACATAAATTGCTAGCACCAAAACATTGACATACTCTCCCCCACCCCTACATGCAATTCTTAACCCTTGCCATTTTTTTTTCTGAAAACGATCAGTATCCTTTGAAACGTCAAAAAACGAGGTTTGAGCCTATTTTATATTCTTCGTTTTTTGTCTTAACTTAGCCGCCACTTGACCTATCTTCGAAAACTGCAAAGCTTTTTTGTATTTGGCATATTAGAAACCTTTTGTGAAAATTGGATCAATATCCAAGCGGTAGTTCCCAAAATATATACGAGTCGATTAGCGTACAGATAGACCGACGGAAATGAGTGATGTACGTACAGTCTACGAAACCCAAAAGTTCGTCAATTTTGGCCTGAAAGGCAAGATTAAAAATCGCTTTAGAATAAAGTAATCTCATAATACCCATTGGGGTCTTGTAAAACAAGGTTTAAATGTTTAGCTACATGGCGACCTCAAAAAATATGTTTTTAACCGAGTTTTTCAGCATTTTTAGAGCTTTTCAGACATTAACTCGCTCATAACTCGAAAAAAGGACAGTCTTACAGAAAAGTTAATGGAAGCCTTTTTTGTTCAGAACGATCCAAAAACCTAAAAAACAGAAAATTGTAATTTATTTAAAAAAATGTTTAAACAAATTTGATCTGGGTTACCGTCGGCTATACTTAATGCTAAAAAAGTCTTGTTAAAAATTATAATTTTTGTGGTCGCCGAGTATCTAAATTAATGTTAAAACCTTACTCTACAAGACCTTGAAGAGTATTTTGAAATTAGTTTAACTTAAGGCGATCTCAACCTTGTTTTTCAGGACAAAATTGGCATTTTCGCAGACTTTACATGTGATATAACATCCAAAAAACATATTTCATTTTCGAATCATTTGCTAGTTACAATACTTCCTAATGCCGTAGGCAGTGAAAACTGAGAAATGCCACGTTGAGTTAGAAAATGGTTTGCTTCAGCAAGGACCAATCTGGTGAGGTGCTGATAATAAAATTGGAGCCCTCCCAGTACCATAATATATGAAAATCTCCATCTAGGTAATAAAAATACAAAGGACACAATTTCAGGTAATAAATTTTAATTTTTTAATCCAACCGAAGTATACAGCAGTCGAAACTAAGATTAAGCGAACTATTAATATTCTTCTAACAGTATTTATAAAACATGGACTTTCATTACTAAAAAATAAAAATGAATATTTATTGCCGGGTATTAAATAAATTAATTCTGGGTGTACGAATCATATTAATTACATACTTATGTTAGAGATTCAATGTACATTTTATTGTAATGATTTTAATACAAATGTTGGTGCTTTGCTAATATGAATAAACCATATGACATCTGTCACAAGTCTAACATCTTCGACATTATCACGATTAAGACTATTGACTTTTCTTACACATGTTAGCCTGCTACCTACTGAAAAAATGTAAAGGCAATCACTGGTATTTTCAATATGTTGTGCTGTCTTAGGATATTTCATGCTGCAGGCAAATATATAGTTTGGCAAATCCATGTTGCGACAACGCAGTGAGATTGTATTGATTAAAATAGAAGCAGCTTCACCCGCTGCTTGGCTAGTGCCTTCACAGACGAAGCCGATTTTGACAAACTATACGTGAATCTGAATCCCTGAAAAACTTATACGTCTAGTACAACTGTTCTTAAATGTAGTTTTGTGGTGCAAACTTAGCACACCATGTGATGACACATGAGATGATCTCCCGCCTGCTAGCGTCCTCTGCTATACCACAGGCTTACTGTAGCGTTGGCAAACTTGTCACGCATCTTTGGCCTGACAAATCTGATACATACCAAGTATTTTCTAGTATGCTATATAATTCACTCTGCAGTCTTAAACCAAAGTACCAGGCACAAATTATATGGAATTTAACCATTGGTCAATTTTAAGTTAGATTCATATAGTGATAGTTAATGTTGTGCTGATCAAATGTTTCAATAGGTACAGAATGATTTCTACTGGAGATAGAGGGTCTTAAAGTTTGATCCCTTAGCCCATGTGGGTACGCCTGTCCGCACCATTTTACTAAAACAAACTCGTCTTTAATGAACTCGACTCGATTACGTGAAAATGGAAAGTTGTTTAATAGAACTATGCAAGATATTCGAAAACGGTTTGCGCAACAAGATTGATATCTTATATTCTCTAAATTATTTGGATGTATAGAGAGCGTTGCAGAATTCCGTGGCATTTTTTTAAAGGGGCACCCTATATGTGGAGAGACTTTTCGAAAACGAAAGTATTGATTAATACAATGTACTGTAGGATTTTGATCGTCATTTGTTATTTTATAATTTTTCTGAAGAAATGCATATCCTTGAAGGCTCCGACTTCTGCCAGTTTTTCCCTGAATTTTGGAAAGAGAATAATTTCATTAAAACAAACAATTGTTGTGCCCCGGAGTTGTGCAACATCCCCTGTATATCTCCAAATAACTGAGAAATACACACACATTATGTTAGTCGCAAATCGTTTCGAATATCTTTTATAGTTTTTCTATTACTTTCCGCTTTGGTTTGGACACCCTGTGTATACTGTATTTTTATTATATCATCACGTCTACAATAAAGACGAGGTAGTTTTCGTAACATGGCGCAGGCAGGCTTACCTTGATGGGCTAAAGCACCAAACTTTAACAACTTTAACACCCCACATCTCCAACATAATGCATTTATTGAAACATTTGATTACCACAACATGAACTATCACTATATGGATTTTCATCAAACTTGGCCGATGGTCGAATCCCGTATCTGTTGAGCCTGGTACTTTCGGAAGGTTGCCTGTATAGATTAAAATCGCTTTTTATAAGGATCCCTATTCTATTAAAACTATGCCGACATGAATTTTGAGGAACTTTAATAATATTCATATTACCATGGTTTTGCGACTAATTTTTTATCAACTTATGAAAATGAAGGATACACTATCCCTTCTTTATTCAAACAAAATAATAAGTCAGGAATAGGAATTATATTAAAACAAATTCACCTAAAATTGTAGATTATAAGCTAAAGAAGCATTACGATTTGGCAATGGGATAAAAAATATTAAGTCATTTGAAAACACGTTATGTTGATCACTTTTCTTAGTTGACCTATGCAGGTGTAAGGCTGAGGTCACATTGGAGGTAGTAGGCTTAACGGATAAGTTCAAGGAAAAGTATGCAGATGCAACTCACGGCGTTATAAGAGGTAATTGCACGAAGTATGGTTGTAGTTACTTTCAAAAAGCATCTACTGTAGAATCTCCTTAACGATTTGTACAGAAATGCGGAAGCCCAGAAAAAAAGGATGTAGTGTCCACAATTAGCGCTTTTGTCATTGATTCAAAACGAGCAGAAAAAATACACTGCAGAAATTTCAGCTCAGTATCGACATTTTCCAGAGTTTTATTTTTATCGTGCTAATCTCACCACTTAGAATCGGATGTGTCTCTTGATATCCTGGAATCTTATCTCAGATCTTGCATATTACTCTATCACGAAGTTTACTACCTTTGGTGTGACCTCAGCTTAAGGAGATCGAGTAATGTTGGGGCTACATAGTGATGGTAATATTGATGCTTATTCAGTATATAGCATACGATGCTGACCAAAGTTGTTTTCCTTTTTAAATTTTTATGTGTACGAGTGCACCATATAGGCGTCGTCACCACGTAGCTTGGCAACGAGTGTTGGGGAGAAGTCGTGAGCGCGACTGTATCACCTCCTCAACTGTCATTTTCAGGCTACGTGGTGACGATGCATAATTGGCTCACTCTTTCTAACACACGTGTTGCACGTTTCTCTCTCTCGTACACATTGAAATATAAAACGGAAAATGCTTTGGCAAGCTGCAGGTCTAACAAATCAAGGTAAACATACGAAGTGGTCTGATGGTTATTTAAAATTAAACTGGCAGTATTCTTTATGTAAAAAATATCCCAATGCTCTAAGTTTTACGGTTCATAGTAAGAAAAGCCAACAATTCACCTACGTTGCTCCCTGGCCACAAAACAAGAGTATACGCCTAACAATATACACGTACGAAAAAAAATACTAAGCAGAATAAAACTAGCAGCCAAGGAGTACATATTATATTGTCTATAAAACACATACATCACAATTTCGTCTATTACAAATCTTATATACATTAAACAAAGGCCCTGTTCAACCGGATTGAAATGATTTGCCAACGTTATGACCTATTAAAAGAACAAAAATGGAAGCCGACACCAATTATACTTACTTTATTCCATACAGTGATTTCAGTACGATTTTTATATGCTGTAGCTTGAATCCCCCAACAAAATCTTGATGTAGTATTCTCCAATACGTTCGAGTAACAGCCGCATCAAACCACGTGAAATTTGATATCAAATTTATAGTATATAATGGGCAACCAGGCAAAATGGACCATGCATTGAAAGTCATAACCTATAAATGTTCTCATCTGACAGTGTCGGTATGCTGCGATGCCGTATGCTTAACTAGTGACAGTAAGCGAAGCATTAGTGTAGATTTTACATTTGTGTACATTTAACACTACCACACTTACTTTTGCCAGTTGCCATATACAAAGGCTCTAGGCGAAACTACATATGAAAATTGCCCCAAAGGTATCCGAATCTGGATCAGTCCAAATTAGGGTATATTGGGTAAAATCACCCTAGCCAAATTTTAATGTCTATAGATCGCCCATAGAGACTCTAATCTCAAAAACGTAGTTTTTCCAAAGTAATTTTTTATGGCCGCAGTCAAATCAAAAAATATTGTTATATCCTATATAACCGGTTTTTTTTATAAATTTGTGGAACGTATTTCGAGAAAAATTTTTTGTTGTTTTTTCGAATTTTCGGTTGGGCAATTAAAACTTCGCAACTTAAAAATCCACTGTCAATCACTATCAGTGTTTTCTTTTCAGATTCACTAACAGAATCATGAACTTATACAAGAAAAATCGCCAAAAATCGGAAACATCTCATTTTTAACTATTTAAACGTAGGATATCATACGTTAGCTAACTTAAAAACCCAATGCAATGCAATACGAGTATGTATTTTTGTCCGTTTTTTCGGGTTCAATGGTCAGAATTTTGTTCTGGTTCCCGGAAAAGTACGAGAATAGGAAAAACCGCAAAATCGATGAAAATGCCGTTTTTCGGATGTGGGAATACAAATCAAAATTTTTAATATGGAACCTGGAATAATGGGCAAAAAGTGTGTTCGTCGAATGTTTGAGTAAGCCAATTGATAATATCCTACTGACAAAAATTGGAGAAAATCGGTGAAAACGCGGTTTTTTCCGATTTTTGGCGATTTTCTGGGCAAACATTGATTTTGTTAATGGATCTCTAAGGAACGCAAGAAAGCACTGATATACAGTGGATCCTTAGGTTTATCAAATTTTCATTACCTCATTAAAAATTCGGAACTCATATACGGTCCACAAATCTATAAAAAATCAGGGTTATGTAGGAAGTAAGAATGTAGGATCAGGGAGATTTTAAAAAATGTTAGAACAAAATTGTGCCTGTCAAAATTATTTTCGAAAAAACACGTTTTTGAGGTTAAAAGCCCCTAGGGGCGAACTATCGATCTGAAAGTTTGACCCAACAGGCCTAAATTTAGATTGATTCAGATTTCGATATCTTTGGGGGCACCTTTCATATGTAGTGTCGCCTATGGCTTTTGAAATCAAATTTCAGATCGTGTCATGCAGTCCTAGGACTTCTTGTGTTCAAAACGATTCAGCCTTGAAACACAAGTTTTTTTTGACAAATTAACAATAAATCCAGCCACAACTGTCAAAAACAACTGTTCTAACTGACCAGTAGATACGATGAAAAATTGACTACGAAAAAATGACAATGACAAATTTACTGCAGCGACCACTACCAGTATCATTTTATTACGTCGATACGTTCGAGTTAGACGATTCAATCAAAGCGTTTTGGTTTAACTACAGGTTTGAACGCTAGGTATAACGATCTTTGCCATTACAAGAAGTTATTAAGAATACGATTTAACGTCAGAATCGTTTTACCTAGTTAGTAAAACATTTTAAAATGAAAATGGATTATGAAGAACGACTATCTATATTATCATTTTTTAAAGACACAAGTCATAAAACGTTGAAGCTTGCGTTGTTTTGGAAATTATTGCATCAAGGAGATTTCTGTTAAGGGAGAGAGACAACAAACAACTCAAAAAAAGTAGGAACAAAAGGCGCCGGCCATTCATTCTGTAGTATGTACTCTATAATGCACTATCATATATGTATATGCGAAAGCGACGGGTATTCAGTCACCTACAGAGAGCCACGTGTTCATTTTTTGGTTAACCAGGGATATTTGAGGCAGTCGGCTGCCGTAGCTCGCCTGTCGGGATCAAAATCGAGCATCGGCTTCAGAAATGCAGCGAATTCTTCAGCATCTTCCTTTGACCTGGAACAATAAATCAAATATGAATATCCTGTAGAACATTAATTCCCTCAAAATCCTCAAACTCATGGTATGTCTAAAGGAATCATGATGACCATTATCCTTTATTCGTCATTTGCTTGTCTAGGCGGTCCGTAGGACGTTAATCGAATCTGTCAGTCCTGGTTGACCAGAAACCAGACAACGTCAAGAAAAAAAAAGGGAAAGAGAAGAAAGAAGGGGAAGTGTAAATAAAAATAGAAGTGTATCAGTTTAAGAGGCAATACCAGGACTTATTGACTTGGCACACGGATTAATTTTGAGGTGAACTAAAAACCAATTTTGAACAGGTTTCGTTAGAGTGTTCTTTTGGGTTTACTATGAGCATGATTTCATAGCGTAAATGGATCGCTATTACTTAAAAAATCAGACTACCGCGATTGCAATATTCTGGGATTCAATATGTGCTCATATAATAATTGCAAACATGTGTATTTTTTCATGGTACTTACATAGTCTTTTGACAAGCTTTTTTATGAATAAACTGAAGTATAAGTACTGCGTAATAGTTTTATTTCATGTAGCCATTGATCTTTTGTAAATCGTTTACATTTGTGGAAATGATGGTTTTATTATGACCTCCGTCTGCGTTAATAAAACTATAAACGATACAATCAACCATAACCTATTTTAGCCTTATGTCAGTAGTGTCAAAGGATTGCTATAGTTTTACATTGAGAGTATAGCTTTTCCCTTTGCCAGACCGTGCGAATCGTATCGTCAAGGATGTTGAAAAAAAAATATGTGACCAACCAAGTTAGCGATATGCTTCTTGAGCGATGTAGTTTCAGCTTGTTTACTCTGAGGCTATGCGTTTCATAGACGCATACATGAGAGTTTGTGGTGCGTGGTGCTTTGACAGGGTTGCCAAGTTGGGGGATTTTCGTCCAGATTCGGGGGATTCTTACTTGGGGATATCACACGTTTCGCTAAAAGAAAGCATCCCCCCCTCTCATTCAACCTACCCCTTTCCATCAGTTAACTGATTTGAGGGATTTTTTTGAACAAGTAGCAATCCTGAGGGATTTTTGTGCTTGTTTTGGGGAAATTCTGTTCCACACATCTGGCAACGCTGTGCTTTGACAGATCCGCCATGTAAATAACAACATAGGATTGCGATTTAGCTGATTGAACATTAACTCAACTATATTTTTGCTTATTTCCTCTATATCGTTGGTGCAAATAGTCGGAAATCTGTTAGAAATTATTACTTTTATTTAGCTGTTTACAAACAACTGTTAAAAAGTCTCTCTGTGTGCGGTGATTAATTGTTTAACGAGGGGTAACAGTAACATGTTCATTGTTTGCAATTCCTGCTATGTCCCAAAGTGGTGGTGAAACACTGCCCAAATACCGACAAGATCAAGTCATAGAAGATAGAAGAATAACCAAAATATGCAAGAATTCGTTCCAGGTGTTTTAGAAAAGGAAACGTCTTGATAAACAAAATTGGTTGACCTAAATGTGTATTTTATAGGAGCTCCAGTAGATTTAACATAGTTAAGAAAAGTCACCCGCGAAATGATTTATAACAATGGAAACAGAAGTTAGTAAAACCTGTAATTTTGCAACTAGCTGGTTAGCTTTTAGGGCCCTATCCGGGAGATTTCACGATTTAGTTTATTATCAAACTGTGGATACCCTGTACACGCACAGTAGCTGGGACATTGCCTCAGTCGGGTGTCACGTTTTGGGAGTCACTTTATTCGCATTTCGCCGGTTCTCCTGGTATAGGCTCCATGGAGGTATACCCTATTTCATGAGCATCCATCACGCTTTGACGTCTACCGAGGTGAATAGCTGATCAGCAAGTGACATTTTTGTGTTGGTCTGCAACGTTGGCTATAATGAATCGGGTGTAAATCTAACAAAAATTTGTTTGTAGCGGTTTGAATTTTGTATGTAAATGAACTTTTCTAAATAAAAGAGCTTTCAACAAGTTCAAAATGAATCTGTGGCGTACAAAAAAACAAAACAAAATATGGCTCTGTCTAGCTGGCATTGACGGATCCATCGGAATTATGTGTCCTGTGCCGATGTGGAGAATTTTGAAATATTACTAGATAACCAGCTGTCATTCTACCGTGATGGATATTTGTGAAATAGGGTATAATTTCACTACATTGTCAACATGGCCATTAGGAATTGCAATCTGACAGATGCAGTTACGCACCGACACCAGTTTATCTGTCAATGTATCCACACTGCAAATAGATTTGTGTTATTTGAAAACTCCTAGAAACTGATTAGTATAATTAGAGCTATAAAACGCACTCGCTAAATAGAAGTGTGTAAGCGCCAATATCGTTTGGCACGGATTACCTTATTTTTTTAATTGATAATAGACGATATCCTTTCCAGAACTTAATTAATTAACGTCAAATAATCATTAAACACGTATGAGAAATTTCAAAATTCGTCGCGTTTTGATGTTCGTTGAACAAAATCTTACATTTTTAGTATCTTGATGTCGAATTTGGAAGATGTTGAATCGTTATATGGCGCCAAGTACACGATTGCAAAATGGCACTTTGACAATAAAATAAAAGGCTCTATTTAAAAATTCGACGACAGATTCCTTTTACACCTGTCACAAAGTTGAGCTAGGTAATAGCGACAACTGTTGCCTTTCGCACTAAACGCGGTCCACCAATTTTGGTCTCTTCCTCCTCACAGGCTGTCGACATACACACAGCGGTTTATGAAAGTTTCCACATGGATATTTGATACGAATGTCACACTAGCAGTATTTACTGGAATGTATAAGATACCTACCTGACGCTAGCCAACGATTAACCGTAGTCCAGTGCGTATACAGGGCTTTTGGGAGAACTCAGTGGCATCTATGAATAGTAGCAGAACACAAAAACGAATTTAGACACCTATTTTGGAACTCTTTGCTTCTGCTGCTGTTATAGATGGCACTGAGGTCGATCTATCCAAGAAAGACATTAAACCAAAATAATACGTAGCCGTGTTCAGCGCGTGATCAATACGTTGATATACGGTGAGGTTCAAATTTGACTGACGTAATGTGTACGAGAGAGAAGCGTGCAATATATATATATTAGAAAGAGTGCGCCAATGACAACGCGGCAAGCTGCGGCTGCGTCCGTAGCCTCGTCACTCGGGTTGCCAGGCAACGAAGTACTATCTCTTTCTCACACACATATTGCACGCTTCTTTCTAACACATTACGACGCCAGTGGTATATGAAAAAAAAAACGGCAACATAACTGTTATTGAGCAGTTATCCCTTTTTAAAGTTACATTTCAGTTCAGGGGGGGAGGATTACTCCTTAGGAGCGCAAATGCCGAGTACTCACCAATCATACTTCTCGCGCAGAACTTCCTCTAGGCCCCACGGCTTGAGTCCGCTGATGTGCCTGAGCTCGTTCTTCTTGTTGAAGAACAGCTTGGAGTTTTTGCCGCTCTGCGCTATGCGGCGCGGGATGTTGCCCAACAGCTCGATGATGTGAGCCAGGTGGTCTTCGTCGCGGCAATAATCCTCGCCCGAATGGGGCTCGAACAGGTAGTCGCCGGTTGCCAGCTCGAACGCCATGCACGCCGTGCTCCAGATGTCGGCGGATGTGTTGTAGCCTGGAAAAAAAAGATACTACCTACACCAGAGGTTCTCAATCTTGTTTCATCTACTGCCTAATTTGGGAATCAATTATTTTCTAGCGCCCCCGGAGTTGTTCAGGAAGATGTTCGTCTAGAGGCGGGATGGCAGCGTAGTCTGCTAGAATAGTGCTTCTGAAAGCGAATGTCTTTGTGGCAACACTGCAACAGCAGTTGTGTTTGTATACAGTTTCAACTAGAAATATAAATAAATAAAAGTGAGGAGACAACTCTCGCAATCCTCACATTCAAACAATGCCAAAAAGGCATCATTGTCAGAAGTATAAATTTTCAAAAAAAGTATTTACGTTTTGTATTTAGACAAAATTCTTATGCATTCTCCAAGGAGTAAATATCTGTAAACATTTATAGTACATTAGACAAAAGATCTAATATTACTACTAGTATATAAACTGGTACTATCTTTGTGAAAATGTAGTGACTGCAACCTGCAGTGAATTATGTGTTTTAAACTTAAAACAAAATATTAAGTGTTCAAATGAATAGGGCACCTTTTTGGAACAAGGTAAATTATTATTCTTTCCATCTTAAAGAAATGTTGAACATTGAAATTATGTTGTTCATATCCATGTCCTAGTTTATATAAGGCACCATCTGCTATAAGTACTCATTATTCATTACAGAAATATGAATTGTCTCTATAAAACAATGAACAATGTTTACATAACTGTGTTGCTGTGACCATTTAATTAACTCTGCTATGCAGAAAAAAGGGCAAAATATGATCGGACTGAAACAACGATTTAAAAAACTTTTGCTTTAGGAGACTAAAATACAGAGATATAGTTTCTGTACTTACGTGAATGGGAATGCCAAACTCTCAAGATCTTTGACATTTATGAGATATCAGTGACCTACTGATAAGCCTACCTCCTCCTAGCTAAGCTTCTCTCCATCATGCTACGGCATTCTAAGCCTGCTAGGCGGACGCATCAAGCTGTTAATGTTGAAGCTGGGCTCTTCCCAAGACATCAAAATACGCATTGTCTAGTCGGAATGGCTGTCTTCAGGTCTACTGACCTGAGACAGTTTAGAACTAGTATTAACAAAATATTTTTGACGTCACAGCACAACGTGCCAGCTATTACCAGAATCAACCACTGCGAGAGTGAAAACAGCAAGGTGTCTGTTGGAACTGCGTCCCAGTTCGCATTTAAATAAATAAATAACGTTTATCGCGTTAAGGAAACCATTTACAGGACAATCTTAAGAAAAGATAAATCAAACCCACAAGAATAGGAAACACAAAAAGGAAAATACAAACAAGGAACGGAAGCAAAAACATATTTCACTCAAGTGTTTAAGTAATTCCTAGATACTCCCAAAATGATTAAACTGTCAGCATGTTAATAACAATGGCATTGAAAGTTTCACACATTAAAAAGGGTCCGTCAGAAACAACGCATATTTTTTAAATGAAGAGTACAGTCAAAATAAGTATGGCAAAAAATATTTTATTATATCAGAATACTCAGAAATACATGCCATGTTTTTGAGTAAAACAAAATTTACGCTCTAAAAACTATGTCGGCCATATGGCGCCGTTGAGCCGCAATGTACGAATCAAGCCTCTCCCGAAATGAGCCCATTGCGTCGGCCAGCATCCGTGCAGGAATTTGGGTTACTTCTCTTATTTCCTTCTTCAAATCGACCAGGGTCCGAGGCTTGCATTGGTAATTTTTTGATTTCAGATAGCTCCATAAAAAAAAATCACACGTTGACAGGCCCGGGGAGCGAGGGGGCCATGGAATATCGCCGAAATAGTTTTTAGGACGTACATTTTGTTTTACTCAAAAAAATGGATTGTATTTTTGAGTATTTTGATATAATAAAATATTTATCCCATACTTATTTTGACTGTACTACTTATTTAAAAAACATGCGTTCTTTCTGACGGACCCTGTATATGTACATGAGTGCTTTCAAAAATAAATCTGTGCGAGCCCTGTCACAATAAAAAGTTTTAACGGTACGAGTTTGAATGGATGGGACATTTTTGAGTAAAAAAATAAAAACCGTTCTATTGTCTAACTTACAAAATTATTATTAATTTAATTGGAAAAATTAAACACATTAGGGGTACTGAACAACAACAACTGACAACATAAACATAACATTAAAATGGAACTTGTCTACACTAGTGTCCTAAGATTGTCCCACAAAAAGAAATCTAAACTGTTGAGGTCTGGGGACCTTGGTGGCCATTCTTGGGGCCCACCGCGGCCAATCCAACGATTTGGATAAACAGTTTGTAAATAATTACGAACCGCTACACTGAAATGCGCGCTGGTGCACATCATGCATGTACCACATACTCGTATTGTTTCTTATTACTAAAGGAAGTCGTCCCGGCAAGAAGAATGGGCCAATAAAGTGGTTGCCAATAATTCCTGCCCATACGTTAACCGAAAATTGGTGTTGGAAATGGGTTTCGGTTACGGCATAGGGATTTTCTTCTGCTCACAAATGATTATTGTGGAAATTTTGAGTGCCATTTCGAGAAAAATTAGCTTCGTCCGTGAACAGAATCATTGATTCAAATTGCGGATTATGTGTAATTTTTTGAAGATACCACTGAAAAAAGGTCACACGCCTTGGAAAATCAATAGGAAGTAATGCCTGTACTCTTAAAATATAGTAAGTATATAACAAAAAATACACTAAAATCCTCCAAACAATTTGATGGCAAATATTCAAGTGTCCAGCGATCTTCCTCGTACTCGTTTCACGATGTTCTTCGACTTCGTGCAGCACTGCCTCCACAATTTCAGGTGTTCTCACACTTAGAGGTCTACCTTCAGATGTTCCTTTTCGGACAGAACCAGTTTCAACAAGACGACGATGAATATTAGAAAAGGTTCGACTATCTGGCAAAGCACGATCGGAAATCTCTGGTGATAATCCGTCTGGCTTGCTCACCATTACCGTCGCCAAGGCCATATACGTAATGCATTTCTGCATTTGAGTAATTCACCATTATTAACAAGATTGAAAAAACTAAATAATGAAAAAGATGGCACAACGAACAGATCTGAATAACAGAGAGTTGTCAGATGTCAAAAGTCAGTGACATATTCCAGAGCAACTAGATATTTACAGGTATTGCTAAATTGCATTCTTCAATTATTATTACATTAACTTTCTCGGACAACAGAACGGTTTTTATTTTTTTACTCAAATATGGCACATCGAAGAAAAACAATTCAAGAGAGATAATTTGTTTCAAATTAAACGGGGAATTCAAAAATAATTTTTATTTGGCAAAAAACCATTGGCGTAACATTTTTTTCTTAAAAAAATCGAAGTCAATACCCGTACGCACGCCACTGTTAAAGCAAGAAATTATTTTTACATCGAAAAATATGCAACTTTATTAACTTTCACTACGTACTAAATATCAGTTAAATATCGGAAGGGGTTCTGGAAATATTAATTAATTTCCATTTTTAACCTAAAACTTCAACAGCCCGAGTTTTTGTAAGGAAACATTTTTGGACGATAGTTTATAGAGCAAACTAACATTAATTTTTCATGTAGATTCACACCCTTAAATGTTTGCATATCATTATGAACACCCTGTATATAAGGTCTGTCGCAAAGTAAACAGAACAAAGAAAAAATGAACACACATTTTTTGTTTCGGAAAATCGAATTTATTTTAATCAAAATAGTCTCCTTCAGAGTTAATACAGCGATTTGCATGGACCAAAAGATTTTTTTCGAATGGTGATTATAGCTCATTGAGCGGGATGTCCTTCAAAATGGTCGTCAACGCCTTTTCGATGGCCTCTACGTCGGCATACCGCTGTCCCTTCATGGCCAAATGTAGTTTACAGGACAGAAACTATTCACACAGTGCCATATCAGGAGAATATGGGGAGTGGTTGATGGTTAAAATTCCATTTTATGTCGAAAAATCGGACACATTCGCGATCGATGAGATGGTGCATTATTCTGGCCGAACACGACGAAAACGCGACATCAAACGCCTCATAACAGATAAAACAGCATTAACCATTCGGCCGGAGGAACGAATTCTTTATGAATAATTCCCTTCGAATCGAAGAAACAAATCAACATTGTCTTCACTTTGGACTTTTCCAAACTGCTTTTTTCGGATTCGGCCCTTTAACGCTTGGTTTCGGGATCATATTGAAAACACCACGTTTCGTCACCAGTCGCAATGTTGTACAGAAAGTTTGTCTTTGTTGGCCTCTTTAATGATGTCTCTCGTATGTTGAATTCGAAGCAATTTTTGGTTATCCGTGAGCTTATGCGGAACAAACCGTGAACACACCTTTCGCATGCCCAAATCCTTGGTCAAAATGCGATGGATTGAATCTTAATAGAGATATTTAATTCCATGTCTATGTATCGCAATGAAGATTTTTGATCATTTTTATATATATATATATATATATATATATATATATATATATATATATAGGGTGGCCCATCCATGTGTGGACGGAATATTACTCATAAACAAATACATTTTGAGAAAATCTATTAATGGCATGTTATACATGACATGTGAGGGTACATTTCTAAAATATTGGATACGGGGTGTCCCAATTTTGACCTACATATCAAAGTTGTTATTTCTTAAATGGAATGCCTCAAATTGGATTAAACCAATTCACAAGAAGAAGATTGATATAACATACTATGGGGTTTTGGTAATTAGCTACTGAGATGTAAGGTTTTGTCCAAAAAAACCGTCCACTTGGGCAACCCCTCAATCCGCCATTTTTTTATATAAAAAAAAACTCACACACCTCAGCTTTTATCTTATTTGTTACTTTTTCGAATTTTCATTTTTACTCATACAGGGTGGTCAAAACCGCAAATTGTACTTTTTCTCGATAATTTCAGATGCATTACCCTATATATTTGTGCAAGTTTGGATTCCATTTTTTATAAACTTTTTTTTTGGTATGAGGTTTGATTCAGATAAA